CTCAAAGAGATACTTGCACTTTCATATTCATAGCAGCATTATTCACAGTAGCCAAGAGCTGGAAGCAACCCAAGTGTCCATCAGTGGATGACTGGATATACAAAATGTGGTCCATCCATCCAATGGAATATCATTCACCCTTAAAAAGGAAGGAAATTCTGATGCTATAACATGGGTGAACCTTGAGGATATGATGCTCAATGAAATAAGCCAGTCACAAAAAGACAAATACTGCATGGTTCCACTCATGTGAGGTCCCTAGATGAGTCAGATCCATAGAGACAGAAAGTAGAAGGTGGGTGCCAGGGGTTGAGGTGGGAGGGCATGGAGAGTTGTTTAAAGAGTATAGAGTTTCGGTTTTGCAAGATGAAAAAGTTGTAGAGATCTGTTGCCCAGCAACGTGAATATACTTAACACTACTGAACTGTACACTTAAAAATGGTAGATGGTAGGGCTTCCCTGGTGGTGCAGTGGTTGAGAGTCCGCCTGCCGATGAAGGGGACACGGGTTCGTGCCCCGGCCCGGGAAGATCCCACATGCCGCGCAGCGGCTGGGCCCGTGAGCCATGGCCGCTGAGCCTGTGCGTCCGGAGCCTGTGCTCCACAACGGGAGAGGCCACAACAGTGAGAGGCCCACGTACCGTAAAAAAAAAAAAAGGTAGATGGTAAATTTTATGTTATGCACTTTTTCACCACAAAAATAAAATAAAATAAGAAATTTACCAAGGGGGAAAAAGCGTGTATAAAGGAGATTAGACTAGCATCATGGAAAGACAGGACAACCTCTTGGTGTCAATCTGGGTCTTCCATCTGCTCAGCCACCCGTCTTCCCAGTGCTGCACTGTCACCTTCAGGGTCCAGGCCCGTCCTCTCGAAAGGAAGCTCTGGTGTCTGGGGCACTCAGCACAGGAGGCCACACGTCTGCCCTTGTGGGGTCAGGACCTCTTTGCATGGCCAGATGTGGATCGGCGCGGTTCTGCATGGGTCAGTGCCTCTGGGCCTGGCTGTGTGAGATGTCACATGGCTCCCTCCCTCTCTCTCTGTATGAGCCACCGCTTCAGGGATGCCTCCTCCAGGAAGCCTTCCTTGACTACTCTGTCTCAACGAACACCCCTCTAGTCCTCCTTCCTGCCTTATTTTTCTTCATAGCACCACCTGACATATCATATATGTATTTGCTTACTGTCTGTCAACGCCACTAGTGTTAACTCCAAAAGGGCAGGGATCTTTGTTTTGTCCACAGCTGGGTACCCAAAGCCTAGAATAGTGCCTGGCACATGGTAGGTGCTTAACAAAGATTGGTTGATTGATTGAATGAATGTGTGGGCAGAGGGAGGGTTATCTCTGAACCACCCACGATGGAGTTTACCTGGGCCCACATCTGCGGCTTGTGTGTTGGTGGCATGTCTCTGTGTGGGGCTGCGTGTTCCTCTGTGTGCCTAGCATGTGCCAGGCCCCAGGATACAGTAGTTCTATGTGTGACAATGGGGATGTCCCTCCAGATGTGGCTCCATCTCTGAGGGTGGGTTTGTGAACACGGTTGTTTTCGCAGGGCAGCTCTAGGTGTATGTCCAGACACAACTGGGTGTGTGCAACTTTCTGTGTGGCCTTTGTGTGTCAGTGTATCTGGGTGCAGGGGAGTGTGTGATGCGGGTCTGCCTGAGTCTGCTTGTGGGTCCAGGAAGTGACTTGCAGCTGTGGTAGCAGCGGGGGATGGAAGGAGGTGACAAGATGAGGGTCCGATTCCATGAGCCCTTGGTCTGCGTATGTCATTGTTTGTATCTCCGACAATGTTGTGAGTGTGTATGTGTAACATCCCCTGCTCCACCCACCCCCTACAACCCGGTCTGATTCTGCAGCCGGGGCCCCCACGCTGGCCGCCCTGCCCCACCCCCAGCTCTGGAGTAATTGCTCCTGAAGCACAAGCAGTGTGATTAATTATGGCTGCTGAATATGCAAATCAGCTGGGAATTTCCCAGCAGCCGCCAGGGTGCCGGTGACGATGCTGGGCAAATACACAGAGCTGAGCGTGCAAGGCCTAAAATTCCCTCCTTACACCTTTGTCAATTACCCTTTAATTTAGCAGGGCTGAATTTCTAATTCTTTAATGAGCTTTTACGTAATTAAAGAGTCATTACACTATTTTTTTTTTTTTTTTTTTTTGCGGTACGCGACCTCTCCCTGTTGTGGCCTCTCCCGTTGCGGAGCACAGGCTCCGGACGCGCAGGCTCAGCGGCCATGGCTCACGGGCCCAGCCGCTCCGCGGCATGTGGGATCTTCCCGGACCGGGGCACGAACCCGTGTCCCCTGCATCGGCAGGCGGCTTCTCAACCACTGCGCCACCAGGGAAGCCCACCATAAGCATTCTTGAGTTAAAGATGTTTGAGAGAGGAACTAAAAGGAAGGTAGGCTCCGGTCTACATTTGGGTTGATAGACATCAACCCAGGGTGAAGAAATCAGCAAAAGCAACACATCTGGAGAAGGGATGACCAGGAGAAACCCCACCCCCTCAAGAGCCCTCATTGGTATTTGAGGGTTTCTGGGTTCTTCATTGTGTGTCGGATACTTCCTCAAGACTCTACATGGGGAGCTCCCTGGTGGCCTAATGGTTAGGATTCTGGGCTTTCACTGCTGTATGCTGTGGCCTGGGTTCAGTCCCTGGTCAGTGAACTGAGATCCCTCAAGCTACTCGGCCAAAAACAAGACTCCACTTGGGGCTCCTCAGCGAAGCCTCTTCTGACCAACCTATTTCAAATAAGCCCCCGACTCCATCACTCTCCATGTAACTTGTCTGATTTTCCTTCACAATTAATACTACCTGAAGTCACATTACACAGAGATCTGTATATAATCTGTTTTCCTCAGAAGTAAGATCCTGAGGGGCAGATACGGCATCTTTCTTCTATCTCCAGCATCTGGAGCAATGCCTAGTGCTTACTACACACTCAATAGAGCTAAACAAATGAATAAGTGAATAAAGGGATGAACTCATGGATTAACCTCTGGGCACCAATATTCTTCATAGAGTTAGCACTCTTAGTAACATTTATGGAATGAATAAAGGAATCTAGAGCAAGTATTCAGGTGGCCTTAGAGGGCTGCTGGCAGGAATAGCAGAGTAAGCTCTGGTTTGGGGTTTTTTTTAAATAAATTTATTTATTTATTTTTGGCTACATTGGGTCTTTGTTGCTGCATGCAGGCGTTCTCTAGTTGCGGTGAGCAGGGGTTACTCTTCGTTGCGGTGCACGGGCTTTTCCTTGCGGTGTCTTCTCTTGTTGCGGAGCACGGGCTCTAGGCATGTGGGCTTCAGTAGTTGTGGCTTGCGGTCTTCAGTAGTTGTGGCTCGTGGGCTCCAGAGTGCAGGCTCAGTAGTTGTGGCGCACGGGCTCAGTTGCTCCACGGCATGTGGGATCTTCTGGGACCAGGGCTCAAACCCATGTCCCCTGCGTTGTCAGGTGGATTCTTAACCACTGCACCACCAGGGAAGTCCCAAGCCCTGGGTTTGAGGGAGGCAATTCACTCCAACCTGCTACCTCTACCCACACAATCCCACCTGATCCAACTTAACTCACACCAGCCCTCCATCACTCCTAACTCAACAATGTCTACCAAGTGCTGAATGGATAAACAAAATGCAGTAAATTATTATTCAACAATAACAAGGAATGAAGTTCTGATGCATTCTGCAACATGAACTGTGACATTATTATGCTAAATGAAAGAAGCCAGACATAAAGGACCACATACTGTATGATTCCATTTATATGAAATGTGGAGAACAGGCAAATCCACAGAGACAGAAAGATTAGTGGTTTCCTACCACCGAGAGGTTTGGAGGAGATGATGGGTGACTGCTCACGGATATGGGATTTCTTTCTGAGGTGACGAAAATGTTCCAAATTGATTGTGGTTATGGTTGCACAAGTCTGTGAATACCCTAAAAACCATTTAATTATACAATTTAAATGGGTGAATTATATGGTATGTGAATTATATCTCAATAAATCTGTTTTTTAAAACCTTCAACCCAACATCTAACCCCAAATTCAAGTCATCCCAAACCCAACTCTCATCTTAACTGATCACATCTTAACTCACCACACTGGCAATCCCTACCCCATATTCATAGTAACCCTTACTTACCTCTACTCAGTTCATTCTACTTCTTAAATCAACCCTAATTCAATTCAACCCAATATCCAATTCCAAACCCTTAATGCAATCCACTCATCATTCCAACCCCCAATTCAACAGATCCCCAAACTGATTCAACACACTTCAAACCACCCTCCAACTCAACTTATCTTCAACCCACTTCAACGTAATTTACCCTACCCTTAATCCCTAACCTCCAACTCACCACAAGGGTCAACTCATAATTCAAATCTCTTCACCCCCAACTCACTCCCTTGACCTGCCACCCAAACCTTTGACCCCTAGTCATTTTATCTCAAACCAAAACCACATTCCATGTCACCTCTTGATACATCCCCTCAACTCAGGCAGTGATTCCAAGACCAATCAAGGTCAACATGGAGATCTGTCTACTTTCTTTTTTAAAGTTAAATGTCTTCCTAATAGGTTCACAATTTTTCCCAGCTTTATTGAGATATAATAGACATATGACATTGTAGATGTTTAAAGTGTATATAACATGTTGATTTGATACACTTATATATGGCAAAAAGATTACCACCATAGCATTAGCTAACACCTCCCTCACGTCACATATTTACCACTTCTTTTTTTGTCCTGAGAACATTTAAGATCTGCTCTCTTAGAGATCGGACTATTTTTTCAACTTTTCCTCTAGCAGCCTAAGTTAATAAACAGGCCCATCACTTCCAGTGAATCCCATTATAATTAGGTTCCCCGACCCCCAAAGTTACCTCTACCAAAAGACTCAATTATTAAGACAGGTGGTGGCAGATTCCTTGGGTGAGACAAGAGCCTGACCCTAAGAGAGATATGGCCAGCGTCAGATGAAAGGCAGACAGGGACACAGTTCACTGGTTTATTCTCAGACTTGAGAAGCCAATTATGCCCTATGGCCTGGGGCGGGGTGGGGGGTGGACTTGGGGATCATGCTAGAATCTCTCTCATCATATCCCAGCCCTCCCTAAGGAAGAAGCAGATTAAATATACAACAGAGGGGGTTTTCCCTTTTAATACAGACCCAGGTATAAATAGGGCAGCACCATTAGGATCCTGATTTACCCTCCACCATCCTGGTCCCCAAACCATCTGGCATGGCAAGGTGCATTTGGGGAGATATGGGGGGAAGCAGTATTCAGAGCTAGCGGGGCTGAGGCAACAGAAGGAACACACAGCTCAGCCCAGGGAAATCCCACTTCCCTCTGTCGTCTGACTTCAGTCCATTCACTGTGAACCCACCTGAAAATAGGAATGAGTGAAGAGGTCCCAGCCTGGGATCAGGAGACATCCAGTGCTTAACTATGCGGAAGGTAGCACCAAAGGGTGTTGAGAGCACTGACTGAGGGGTGCGAGGCAGGCATGGGGGGCATTCATCAGCTCTGAGTTAGAAGTCCATTGCATGGGGGTCAGGGGAGGGAGTTGAGCATCGGGTGAGCATGAAGGGGAGACAGAGCCAGACTACAGTTATGCCAGCCGGGGTGAAGTGCAGGGAAATGGGACTCATGGGCCAGGGGAGTCCAGCCTCCAGACCCCCGGAATGGAGAAGGAATACTGTTTGACGGTGATGAGCAGACTGTCTCCTGGCTCCACAGTCCCAGGAGACGATAAATGTGATGGCTTCAAAGCCTCAGCACCAAATGTGCCCCATCTGGGGCTCCCTCATTTTCCCTCCCACCCATGAAGCTCTCAGCTGCTAAAGCAGACAGGGCCCAGTTCAAACCCAAATTTCTGGTTCGTCTGGCCAAAGTCAGCGGACGCCACATCCCATAAGGGCAGAAATCCCACTCGGGAAGAGCTGAACTGGAAGAGGGTCTTCGTCTGTCCCTTCCGTAGCTGACCGTGGGAAGACACGGATGCTGAGTCAGGGGGAGGGTAGCCACAGCCTCCCGCCCTGCTCTGGCCAGCCCCTCACCCCTCCCTTACCCTGCAGCCGTCGTAGGGAACAGTGATGGTGGCTGCTGCCGTCTGGTTGAAGGACAGCTCCTCCCCGTTGGTCCCAAGGAAACTGACAGAGCGGCCATGGTCTCCTGCAGCTTCGTCCAGCCAGGCGGCCGAGTTCTGGCAGGAGTATGTGAAGCTCTGGCGGGTTGTGGCACTCAGCAACTTCAGGAAGGTCAACTGCACCACACTCACCGGGGCCCCATCCGCATCCACGTAGGAGAACTGGAGGTGGGACAAAGAAGAGGCGAGCGTGCTCCATTCGCCTCCACTCCTTCTGAGGTACCCACCTCCCAGGATCTCCACCCACCGCAGACCTGCCCGCCCTGCCACGTCCTCATCTTTATCAGCCCCACCAGCCATCCGGCCGTCCACAGTTCTCTTGCAAGCCCCTAGGCACGTGTGGCCATTGAGCCCTTGAAAGGCAGCCGGTGAGACTGAGAAAGTTTTCAAAACTTTATTTAAATGTTAATTTTTTTCTGTCGGCACTCATTTTTAAAAAATTGAAGTATAAGGGCTTCCCTGGTGGCGCAGTGGTTGAAAGTCCGCCTGCCGATGCGGGAGACAAGGGTTCGTGCCCCGGTCTGGGAAGATCCCACATGCGGCGGAGCGGCTGGGCCCGTGAGCCATGGCCGCTGAGCCTGCGCGTCCGGAGCCTGTGCTCCACAACGGGAGAGGCCGCAACAGTGAGAGGCCCGCGTACCGCAAAAAAAAAAAAAAAATTGAAGTATAGTTGATTTACGATGTTGTGTTATTTTCAGATTTACAGTGAAAAGTTTTAGTTATTTGTGTATGTGTGTGTGTATATATATATATATATGTATATACACATATACTCATATATATATTATTTTTCAGATTCTTTTCCATTATAGGTTATTACAAGATATTGAATATATAGTTCCCTGTGCTATACAGTAGGTCCTCATTGCTCATCTATTTTATATATAGTAGTGTGTATCTTCATCTCAAACGCCTAATTTATCCCTCCCTCCCCTTTCCCCTTTGGTAACTGTAAGTTTGTTTTCTATGTCTGTAAGTCTATTTCTGTTTTGTAAATAAGTTCACTTGTATCATTGTTTTAGATTCCACATGGAAGTGATATCATATATTTGTCTTTCTCTGTCTGACCTACTACACTTAGTATGCTAATCTCTAGGTCCATCCATTTAAATTTTAATTTTTTATTTAATTATTTAATTTAAAACTTGTAACATTAATTTATAACTAATAACTGAGCTTCAATCCATTTATCAGAAAACTGAGGTTTGGAACAACTTGAGGATGTGAATATACTTTTTCAACTGCAGGTTTTATGCAATCTAAGTACTTCCAAGGGAAGTTAGTGTCCAAATTACGATGTGCTATAAATATAAAATATGCACCAGACTCTGAAGAACTCAGAGGGGGAAAGTTTAAAATGCCTCAATAATCTTTATATTGATATGACAATATTTTGGATATATTGGGTTACATAAAATATAGTATTAACTTGAGATAACTGGCTTGGTAACGCGTCCTGGCTTCCTTCTCTTCCCTGTACCCTTTCATGTTCCACAATTGATGTTTTCTGGAATCACGTCCCAGATAAGCCCCTTGCAATTGAGTCTTTGCCTCAGGGTCTCTTTCAGGGGAACCCAAACCAAGATACCCCCTGACATTATATTATAGCTTTGTTTCCTTGGTTATGGTCTGTCTGCTTCCTTGGTCCTATTCCCAGTAGAATATCAACTTCATGAAGTTAGGAACTTTTCTTTGCTGCTATGTTCCCAATGTTTAGCATACACATATATGTTACATAAACAAATCCCAAATGAACCCAAGATTCCACTCCATCCCGTAAACCTGACCTTCTTCCCATTTACATATCTCAGAACCTCACTAGACATCAGTCCCTCAAACCAGGAACCTGGGTGTCATCCCTATCTCTTCCCTCCCCTCCATCTCATCAATTACTCATCTCATCAATTACTCACCTGATAGGTCCTATTCACGTGCCATCTCATCAGTTACTAGGTCCTATTGACTTGTCATCCCATCAATTACTAGGTCGTACTGACTTCCCCTCTCAGAGGTTGTTCTAAGCCATGCCCTCCTCTCCATCCCCATAGCACCAGCTCCAGCCTGGTCCCTTCCTTGCTCTCTTGGACCAACACCTCAGTCTTCTGGGTCTCCCAGCCTCCAAGTTCCCCATCACCACCACCACCAGCTCAGAGGCATTTTTCTATCACAGAGATTTAATCTCGGTGCCTCCCTCACTTAAAAACATTCCATGGCTCCCTACTGCTCATAGATCTTTCTGAGGAAGTGGGCCTAGCTCACACCCCCCTCCCCAGCCTCTTCTCCTACCACATTCCCCCTCACACTCGCTAGAGCAGAGCAAGTCACCTTTTCTTTAAATTTACCAGGCCCTCTCTTGACTCTGAGCCTTCATATATCCTGTTCCATCTACCTGGAACACTATTCCTTGTCCTCCCAAACTTGCAACCCAACTTATTCCTTAGACCTCAGCTGAGCTGTGACTTCTACCAGGAAGCCTTCAGGTCCTTCCAGCACTGCCTCTGGATCGCCACCATGACCTGTGCTTTGCCCTATCATACATCTGATGCTGTGATCATCAAGAGGCAAAGTGAGTCTATCCTTTTCATCTCACCTCCTCCAATTCCCATGCTGGTTCCCACCAATTTTTATACCATCCCCACCTTGGCCTCCAGGGCAACTCACCTTCTTCCCTCGACGGAATGTGCTATACCAGCTTCCCAGCTTTTCTCTGGACCAGGAGGCCAGTTTCACCTGGGGAGTGGAGGGGACGGTGTAGCAGGTGCCCCAGGGGGCCACCATGTCCTTTCTGCATTTACCTCCCCACAATGAAAGCTACTGACTGTAATTATCAGGGACTCTCAGTCTGTTCTCTGACTGTTGGACTGAACTTGGCTGGTACACAGGACAGACCCAAGAGGCTGGGTGTTCCCGCCTTCTGAGGCAGCCTCCACCAATGATTGATGAGAGCTGGTGGATAAATGCCCCGGCTCCCTCTCCCCGAGGTGGGGGACAGCTCCCAGGAGCCTACCCTACACTGTCTCCTGGAAGTCCCCAGTGGAACTGAGCCTTGGGTGTCCAACGGTGATGTTTTAACAGCACACCCCTTATTGGCTGCCTCCCCTGGCCCCTCTCACTTACCCCTCCTGGGATCACCTCCTAAATAAATGACCTGCCCTTGTCAAACCCTCATCTCAGGGTCTGTGTCTGGGGAACCCAAACCAAGAATGTTCCTCACTCCCTGCCCCAGCCTCTCTCTGGGCAGAAGGAAGATGAGCTGGTGAGAGATCAGGCCTCAGGTGTCAGCAACTGTTTAGAGATCAAGCCCTGACCTCAAGCCCCCATAAATTGGGTGGGGGTGAGCTCGTCTAAATTTGCATCCACTAGAGTATCTGAGTTCCCACTAAACCAGGGCTCTGACCAGTAAAGAATAAGAATAAATAAGAAGGACATTATTGGGCACTTTTGCAGGCCCTGAGCTTACAACGTGTTTTCCCTGCAGTAGAGGTATTAACACAGCGACGCACATAGTCAGTGTTCATTCAGTGTCCCCTGATATGTTCATTGGCGCCTCAATGGCACAACCACCCTATGAGGTAGATACTTTCTTGAACCCCACTTTACAGATGAAAAAACTGAGGTGACAGATCTGGATTCCAGTCTGAGCAGTCCAGGGTTCAGAAGCTCACTGCACACCCACTGCCCTCTATAGCCAAGCCTGGGGCTTGGTGTCAGAGGCTGTTAGGCTCAGGGCTCCCTGATGGAGAACCCCAGGATTTCTGGGGAACCAGTGGAGGGCAGTGAGCCCATGGGGCCTATAAGACAGCAGGTTAGGAGGCACAATAGAGCATGGTTAAGGGCTGGGACAAGGGCCAGACTGTCGTGGGTAATCTTGTCCCTCTCTGTGCCTCAGTTTCCCTGTCTGGGGGATGATAACAGAATTTTATTTTTTTAATTGAAGTATAGTTGATTTACAATGTTGTGTTAGTTTCAGGTTACAGAAAAGTGATTCAGTTATACATACATACATATCTATTTTTTCAGATTCTTTCTCCTTCTAGGTTATTACAAAATATTGAGTATAGTTCCCTGTGCTACACAGTAGGTTCTTGTTGGTGACCTATTTTAGGGATGATAACAGGATGGCCACATTGGTGGTTGTTAATGCAGCCAAGCGCTTAGGGCTGGCACACATACCTGCTATCTCAAGGTTCTCCGTCATTATTGATTTCTTTACTAGATTTTCTTATCTGTCTTTCCCCATAGAAAATGGGCTCCATAAAAGCAAAGCAGTTTTTTTTTTTTTTTGGATTCTCTGCTGTAACCCCAGCATTTCAAGGAGTTGGCAATACAGTAGGTGCTCAAGAGATGTTAGTTGAAGGAAAAATAAAGTCCCAGTCAACGCCTGGTGTGTGTGTGTGTGTGTGTGTGTGTGTGTGTGTGTGTGTGTGTGTGTGTGGACAGGGTATGAATGAAATGGTTTCCAGAGTCTGGTCCCTCCTTCCACCACCACCACCTCCCACTTCACCCCCAGAGGTACTCACGGTCTCAAACTTCTTGTCTGGGTAAAGGCAGGTCTCTCCTCCCGCCGTGAAGTTGCAGAAAACCCTGAGCGCATCCCGCGCGCAGCCCTGATTGGGGTCAATCCAGTATTCCCCTGCCGCAAAGCCAGGTAGGGCGGATGAGCCGGGCGGACCCCGAGGCTCCCCGCCCACCGGGGGAGAGACGGAACCTCACCGTCGGGCAAATGCGGGTGGTTGCGGTGCAACTCGCTGCACACGAGGCCCGGGTTCTCAGCCGTGCCCGGAGGGCGTCGCAGCTGCTCCAGTTCGAAGCTCAGCGACGTGATCGAGGCCAGCACCTCCTCCAGGCCGCCCTCCGGGACTCCCGGGCTCGGGACCGAGCGCCGGCGCCGGCGCAGCCCGTGCAGCTGCGCAGATGGACCCTGGGCGGAGGTGGGGATGGAGGAGAGGAGGAGATCAGAGACGCAGGAGGAAGAGACAGGGAGAGAGAGGGGCAGAAATGAAAGACGTGGGGGGCAGAAAGACACAGGGGTAGGGGGAGAGGAGAAAGGGGAGGGAGAGATAGAGACAGGGACAAGGGGAGATAGACAGTCAGAAACAGAGACACGGGAAGGAGAGAGACAGAAGGGCTCAGAGATGGGGAGAGGCCGAAGTGGAGAGAGGATAAAAAGAGACAGAACCACAAAGTCAGGCAAAGGAGAGAGAGAGAGACAAGGACAGAGAGAGACAGAGAGAGGGTGCGCCCGGAAGAGAGAAACAAAGATTAAATAGTGAAACAAGTGTTTGAGATAGAGACAGAGAAAGGCCAGGAGAGATGGACATACGAGATACTGTCAGAGCCCCCATGGATGTCCCCCCCAACGCCCTACACACAGCCCAGATCCTCCTTCAGCTTTTGGGCCCACCTCCCACCCCACCTGCACCCCCTGAACACCTGGTGTTCCGCCCAGTTCTGGGCACTGAGGGACCCAAGGGGGACACACTCCAACATAGTCCCTGGGTAACTCACCTGGGGGCCGGGGGGACCTGGGGGTCCAGTGTCTCCGCGGGGACCTTGGGATCCCTGTAGGGAGAAGTCATTTGGGCGTGAACTCTGTCTATGGAGACCGCTGCCTGCCAACACACACACACACACACACACACAGCACTGGGGGCAAGGACATGCAATTTTCAGGACCAAGCATAAACCGCACATTTTCTTTCTATATGTGAACACCTCTGAAGTCATCATCTGTGACAAGTCATACTTTACTTGGTAGAACTGTTTTCTTCCATAGCAGTTTATAAAATAATGGCTCATCTTACAATGGATGGCATCTTAGATTTGACAAAATACAATGGTAGGTAAGGTAGATAGCTAGTGGGAAGCAGCCGCATGGCACAGGGATATTGGCTCGGTGCTTTGTGACAGCCTGGAGGGGTGGGATGGGGAGGGTGGGAGGGAGGGAGACGCAAGAGGGAAGACATACGGGAACATATGTATATGTATAACTGATTCACTTTGTTATAAAGCAGAAACTAACACACCATTGTAAAGCAATTATACCCCAATAAAGATGTTAAAAAAAAATACAATGGTAGGTGTTGAAGAAATACTTGTTGAATGCCTGACTGACTGAATAAATAAATGAATGAATGCAAAGGCCCTGAGCGTTCTAGCGCAGTTGAAGGGGGCTGGGATGTGGGAGCCCAAGGGAACAGTGAGTACTCACCGGGGACCCCTTTGAACCTTTCTGTCCTGGAGGACCCTGTGGGGTAGAGACAGGGAGAGCTGGAGTCCTGGCTGGCCCAACAAGGTGACCCCACCCCACAAATCCCTCATACTCACCACCACACCTCGGGGTCCAGGGTGGCCCAGAGAGCCGATGGGACCAGGGGAACCCTGGAGAAAGGACATCAGAGTCATCATTGATAGGGTTCATCCCTATGGTCCAGACACATCCCCCAGACAGGCTTCCAGTTCCCTCCAAAGAAGACCCCAAACCCCAGATGCAGACTTCAAGCTTCAAGTCCCCAGAGAGAGCCCCCCATTTTCTCCAGACACAACCCCTATCATTCTAGACCCAGGCTTCCCAAATCCCCATACCCACAGTCTCCAAACAAGCCCCACTTCTGCCTTCCCACCACCCTCTGAACACAATCTTCCCACTCGGGGCAGGACACACACTCACAGGTTCTCCCTGGAGGCCAGGGGGGCCTTGCACTCCTGGCAAACCCTGATCCCCTTTCTCACCAGCCTCCCCAGGGGGGCCAACGAGACCAATTAATCCGATGTGGCCCTGGAGGATAAAAGAGGCACATGTTGGGGAAGAAGTGTGGGCGGGGGATTGGGAGATTGTTCTCCTAGAGCCTTGGAGTAGTAGAGGAGACTCCAATCTCCTAGCCCTCTGGCTACAGAGGGAGGTAAGGGTGGAGGAGAGCGGGGTTAAGTGGGGGAGGAGAATAATGGAAGGAGGTATCCTTACCTTTTCCCCCTTGAGGCCAGCATCTCCCTTCAGCCCTGGGAGGCCAGAGGGCCCCTGGAAGAAGAGTTAGGGTCAGCTGGTGAGTCTCAGACAGAAAGCCTCAAGGTCCATGGGAGTGATTGGGGGATGGTCAAATGGGAAATTACCCAGGTTTCAAGTGGAATTACCGGGGAAGTGGTCATGGGGATGATGGTCAAGAAAGAGGAGGGATGATGAGAGATGAATGAAGGGGTTTGTTGGAGCACGGCCAACTTGGATGGTCCGTGGTCAACCTCAATGTAGATGGTCAGTGTAGGCTATTAAGATAGGTGGTCTGTTTGGTCAATGTAGACAATCAAGACGAAGGGTCAGGGTGGACGGTCAGTGTAGACCATTGAGATGAGTGATCAGAAGAGATGCTTAGTATAGACGGTCAGGGTTGACCATTGAGATGAGTGATCAGAAGAGATGCTTAGTATAGACGGTCAGGGTTGACCATCAGATGGCTAGTCAATGAGTGGTCAGTCTGCAGCGTCAGCACCCATGGTTACTAGATGCTCACTGGATGGCCAGTGTGGTTCCCAGTGCTGGGACCTCAGGGACAAAGAAGTCACTTACCAGGGGGCCAGGAGGGCCCAACTGTCCAGGAGGTCCCAGCAGGCCTGCTTCACCCTAGGGCAAAGCAGAACATGGGGGGCTGAACTCTGTCAGAACTCAGTGTGGATGTCCCGCTGCCCACCAGGGTCGGCTCCTTCTAACTATGGTGAGAAATTACAAGATGGGAGCGCATAAGGAAGGCAGGATCCCCCCCCACCGCCCTGTCCCTGTTCCCACCCCACTCACCACAGGGCCGGGGATCCCTCGAAGACCCTCAGGCCCGACACGCCCAGGGGGCCCTCGAGTCCCCACTGGGCCTGTCCTCCCTGGGGGCCCGTCGGGACCTGGTTCCCCCTGAAAAGCACAGGGGCAAGGGAGGGGGTAGAGAGAGTCAGGGGGTGGCTGCCTCCCGACCCGCCAGCCAAGAACCAGCAGGGAGGGGTCAGAACTGGAGCACCCGTGGTGTCCCAGGCCTCTCCCCATTCTGATGGCCCAACTGTTGGCTGACAGGTCAGGACAAGGCCCCCCCACCCCTTGGCAGGGGGCACTCACCTTGGTACCTTTCTCCCCTTCTCTGCCTTCTCGACCCGTGCGACCGGAAGGACCCTTAGGGGAGAAAGTGTGAGGGGGGGGCTGTGAGGTGAGTGGGTGCGCTGGGGATGAGTGGGGGTTTTGTAGGGGCGAGCGGGGGACTGTGAGAGTGAATGGAACAAAGTTGGAGCCAGGGCAGCCAGGAGGTGGTGGTGGGGTACTCATCACTCACCCTTTTGCCAGGGGGCCCAGAGGGACCGGGTTCCCCAGAAGCACCAGGTGGACCCTGGAGATTATAACCAGCAGGGTAGTTGAGGATGATGGTTTCAGGATGCCTTTTTATTTTTTTTTAAACATCTTTATTGGAGTAGAATTGCTTTACAATGGTGTGTTAGTTTCTGCTTTATAACAAAGTGAATCAGTTATACGTATACGTACGTCCCCATCAGGATGCCTTTGATGTGAAGACAGCCTTCCCCACATGTCACCCAGCACCAGCCATCTCCCGCCTCTACCCTCAAGCTACTCACATTCACGGCGAGGACCCAGAGAGGCAAAGCAGATGCATCTACAAGGGCCCTGGGTACCTCATTAACCCACTCTCCTGACCCCCCAATTCACCCACCCACCAGCCCCAACCCCCCTCTTCACGCACCACATCCTCTGTTCCCCTACTCACCAGTCCCCCCACATCTCCAGGGTCTCCCTTCTCCCCTGGGGGGCCGTCTTGACCCTGTGGTGGGAGGAACAAAGTCAGAAGGGGTCATGGGGGTACATGAGAATTTAGGGGTGAGGTTTGGAGGAATGTGAAGGTTATTTCCTCCATCGACCTTGCCCAGGTCTGTGGGGGCGTTGTGGAGATGGGAACAGAATAGGGAATATGCTAGGCTTTCGAGTAAGGAGGGTCACACTCACCGAAACCCCAGGGTCTCCGGGGGGGCCTAGGTCTCCTGGGAGCCCTGTGAGGCCCTGGAACACGGAATGATGGATAATTATATCTCTGAATGATGGAGCGTTCATTCATTCATTCATTTAACTGTGCCCAGGCACAGCTCTGGTTGCTGGGATACACTGGTGAACAAAACACAGAATCCCAGCCCTGGTAGAAGGAACATTCTCGTGTTTAATGTGAGCTAAGTATGTTGCATGCATCACCTCACTGCATCCCCTAGGCTTGGGACTCACAGACAGAACTGACCTCAGAGAAAGGACTCGGCGAGTGGTGGGGTGGTGAGATTCGAGTCAAGGTCCCTCAGACCCCGAAGCTCCTTGCTGTCCTCCGTCCCAACCCCGAGCCCCATCACCATGGTGGGAGGGGCTCCACCTCTGCCCTGATGGCAAATCCTTCATCAGCCAACTCTGACCCAGCATGAGTCTCAACCTTGACCTTCCCAGCAGTGTTAGAACAACTCAGTGTGGAATCAAGTTTCCCCTACTGCAATGACATATAACCACTCCATTTTTATGTTGACTCATTCTTTCATTCAGTCATTCATTTACTCAGCCATGTTCCGGGCTGCCTGTGGAATCAGCACACTGGAGGATGGGACACCCCCCCCAGCTGGAAGTTGGGGAGCAGGTTCAAGGTGACACACGTGCTCCTCCCCGAGTCCTTCCCTCCATGTCCCCCAGGACTCACCACGTTCCCTTTTGCTCCATCTTCTCCAGGGGGGCCTTTCTTGCCCGGCGGTCCAGCTGCCCCAGATGGGCCTGCATCCCCCTTTTCACCAATTTCTCCCTTGGGCCCCTTTTCAGAAACAGAGTTCAGAGGTGCCTGGCCTCTCCAGGGGTCAAGGGTTAGCATACCTGGACTTGGGAATCTGGCTGGCCTGGGGCTTTCCTGGGGTTAGGGGTCAGAGTAGCCTAGACTGCCCAAGGGTCAGAGGTCAGAGGAATCTAGGATTTATAGGAGTCAGGGGTCAGGATGGTCCAGTTGCCCAGAGGTCATGGGCAAATTTGGGCTAGCCCATGTGCCACCCTGGAGTGAATCAGAAAAGGGATCCCCTCTGGGCAACTCATCCCCAAGCCAGGGCTTGTGGTTTAGATGTGAGCCCCACCTGCCTCCTCAGCCCTACACCCTTGTGCAGTGTACAACCTAGAGAACTTTGTGTAGCAACCCTGATACCTTTCAGGGCTCTGTCATCAAGATAACAGGGGATGCCTGTAGGTCCTGGGTCAGTGGGTGACCTAGGGCTGCAGAGGTCATGGTGACCCTAGATGCCCAGGGGTCAGGGATTCCCTGAGATGGGTGCAGGGACACTGGACAAAGGTCACTCACAGGGATGCCTGGGATTCCTGGGGGTCCCCGGTCTCCAGGCTCCCCTGGCTCACCCTGCAGGAGGCAAAGTGAAGGTGAGGAGAGTTCCCATCCTGGCAGCCACCCCCAGGCAGGACTGGTTGTGCCTCCCCACCCCAGGCAGACTTTGGTTCTCTCTCTCTCTCACCTTCTCGCCCACTGCTCCAGGCTGACCAACTCCCCCAGGCAGCCCTGGAGGACCCTGGAGAGACAGCAAGGGGTACAGCTGGGACTGTGCAATCCCAACAGCCCCTTCTTGGGAAAGCTATGTCCTCACCTCTGAGGCATCCTGCCCTCCCCCAGAGTCCTCACCTCTGATCCGCTGGGGCCCGGGGGACCCCGAGGGCCTGGAGCTCCATGGGGACCCTGTGGGACAGTCAGAAGAGCATCCGGTGACCCCATGGTCCTTCAAAGCTCCACTAATCACAAACACCACCCTTGATGCTGGGACCCACATGATCCTTAAAATGACAATGTGACCTGTGACCCCCCCCAAACTGGTTTAATGGCCACCCCCGCCCTACCACCACAACCCCATTTTCCCCCATTGTCCATACCATGGACCCTACGTCTCCAACTTCCCCCTTTTCTCCAGGAGGGCCTGGCATCCCCTGTGGAACAAAGAAGAAAACTTGGGGCACAAAGTGGGAAGGACCGGAGGCTGTATCCCCAAACTCAGACACCTACCTGCAGGCCAGGGGGGCCAATCACCCCCATGAAGCCTCTCACTCCATCATCTCCTTTCTGCCCAAAGAGGCCTGGAGGTCCCCGGCGTCCCTGAGCCCCATCTGCCCCCTGGGGGGAGGACAGGGCAAGGCACAGTTAGGGTCTGTGTCAGGGGTCGGAGAAAGGCTCAAGGTCAAAGTCAGGATTGAGGCTCAGGGTTGGGATTCAGTTTGGAGAGGGTCAGGACTGGGTTTGAAGCTGGGGATGCAGGTTAAGCATCAGAGATGAGCAATGAAGTCAAGGGTTGAGTCAAAGTTTTTCTAAAAACTTTGCATTCGGTGGTGAGTCAGGGTCAAGTTGAGGTCAGTTAAGGTGATGAGGGGAAGGTCCAGATGGGGTTGAGATGTAGGGTAGGGTTTGAGGTTAGGGCCAAGGTACAATCAGAGTTTGAGCCCAGGTTTGGGGTCTGCATTGGAGGGTGGGTCAGGACTGGGGTTAAGGGTAAGACTGGGTCAGGTTCGGCTACTGTTGGATGTGAAGGTCAGGTCTGAGATGGGATTGAGGTTAAGGTCACAAGCAGTGTTGAGATTAGGGTTGTGATGGGGTTCAGGGGTTGAGGTCAGGATTGAGTCAGATTCTGGGGTGAGTTCATATTGAGTGTTGGCATGGAGGGGGTAGGTCAGTGTCAGGGCTGAGTTTGGGCCTGAGTCACCATGGAGAACACTGTCCCTTCCCACTGGGGATCCAAGGGATGGCCACAAAACGGGGATCACTCACCGGGGAGCCTGGGTGTCCCACAAGACCCCGTATCCCTGTTGGTCCAGGTGGGCCCTGGAGGAGGGAACAGAGTCAAAAACCCCTCAGGAGCTTCCCTGGTGGCGCAGTGGTTGAGAGTCCACCTGCCGATGCAGGGGACACGGGTTCATGCCCCGGTCCGGGAGGATCCCACGTGCCGCGGAGCGGCTGGGTCCGTGAGCCATAGCCGCTGGGCCTGCGCGTCTGGAGCCTGTGCTCCGCAACGGGAGAGGCCGCAACAGTGAGAGGCCCACGTACCGCAAAAAAAACCCCAAAACCCCTCAGGTTCAAGATTGGGGGGCTGGAAACACTAGAGATGTCAATCACTGCACCCCTGTCCACTCCCCCCACAGAGAAGCTGCATTTCCCTCCCCCAACCCTGCCTTCCTAGCTACCAACTCATGGGACCAGACAGAGCATGTGTCCTAAGTTTGGCCCATCAGAACGTTTGCCCCAAAGTCCCACCAGGACCCAGGGACTGAGCTGGCTCCCTGACGCTGGGCGCTGCGGCTGAACTTCCGGAGGGAAGCTGGGGGTGCAGTTAGCCCCTTTATTCCAGGTAGCCTGAGTGGCTTCTGTTACTTGCAGGTGTCAAGATGGGTCTCATGAAGGCAGGAAGCTCCGTGGCCTCCTCCTGGCCATCCTCCACATCCCTCTCCCCTCCCCGGGGACCACCCCCCTCACTGGGGCCCCCCACTCACCGCATCCCCCTTATCGCCTTTGCTGCCTTTGTGACCTGGGTCTCCCACTTCTCCCTGCAGAGGAAACAGGATGAGGGAGGCTCATGCCTCCCTCTACCCCCATCCCCCCCCAGCCCCTCCCCTTCCATGAACTCTCTCTCACCTTGTCCCCTTCCTCGCCAGAAGGCCCCACAGCTCCAGGGGATCCAGGAAGCCCCAGGGGCCCTGGGATCCCGTCTTTGCCAGTGGGACCAGGGGGGCCGCGTCCACCCTGATGGGCGGAGTGGAAAGGGGTATGTTGGGCCAGGGCAGAAATGAGCTCTTGATATGTAGAGGGCTGGGTCTGGGGGATGCCTGGGGGATGGGGGGCAGGCACTTACCGGGTACCCCTTCTCGCCTGCAGGGCCAACAGGACCTTGGCCTCCACTTTGGCCAGGAAGTCCAATGCCCCCTGCTGGGCCTACAGGACCACGCTCCCCAGGGGAGCCCTGAAAACAGCGGTGAAGGGTCAGGGATAATAGCAGCAGTGGTAATTCTCATTTATTGGAGGGTTTTCAAGCAGTCAGGCCCTGAGTTAGGTGGTTACCAGCACATCCAATCTATTCCCCCAGACAGCAGCCAGAGGGCGCTGTGAACACCTGAGTCAGCGCACGTGCCTCCCCTCTCTCCCTGCCCACATCCCTCTGGGGCTCCCACCCCACTTGTTGAAAAAAAGGTTTTCCTGGCAGCCCACAAGGTCCTGCACGACTATGCTCTCATCTCCTCCCACTCACCCTAGGCTCACTCCCCTCCAGCCACACGGCCCTGCTCACTGCTTCCTCCAGCCTCAGGACTTTGCACATGCCGTTCCCTCCGCCTGGCACACTCTTCCGCCCAGACACCCACATGGCTCCTCCCTCACCGCCTTCAGGTCTCAGCTCAAATGTCACCTTCTCAGGAGGCCTTCCCTGGCCTGCCTGTTTCAACGGCTCTCCCCTTCTCCCCTCTACTCTGCGCTATTTTGCCTTGTGGCATTCATCGCAGCTGATCCCTATCTCCCTGGCTAGATCGTAGTAAACTCCAGGAGAAAGAAGGGTTTTGTTTGTTTGTTTGTTTTTGAAAGAAGGTTTTTAAACGCTGATGTCTGCTACGCAGGTAAGTATGTGCCCAACGGATCATCTCACTGAGATTTACGATCATCTAGGAGATGGGACTATTTTACAGACAAGGAAACGGAGGCTCGCACAGTGACACGACTGCCCAGCCAGTGAGCGGCAGAGTTGGCCGTGACCCCGACCTGTTTGGCTCCCCAAATAACAGACTTGATGAGGACAATACCCAGCTTCCCAGAAACCCTGAGACCCCTGCACCCTGCCTGCCACACAGCAGACGGGTTTACACTTACGTTAGCCCCGACGGGGCCAGGGGGGCCCTTGTCACCCTTCAAACCAGTAGGTCCCTGAGGAGGAGATGATTCACAGTCGAGAGACTCCCAGCGGTGCCCCTGAGTCCTGTCTTCACTCTGGGGGGCTCAGAGTTCCCACCCGCTTCCCGGCCACTGAGGTTCAGGGATCTGTCCCTCCTGCAGCCATTACTTTACTATCACATTTGCCCCTCCCCTGGGCCCCCCTTTCCTCCTCTGCTTCACAGCCCAGCCAGGCACATTCAGGAGGGGTTCCAAATGATACTCACTGGGTCCCCGGGGGCTCCTTGGGGACCAGGGAAGCCCCTGTGTCCAGGTGGCCCTTCCTTCCCAAAGGGTCCCAGTGGTCCCAGGTCCCCCTGGAGGAGTGCAGAAGAGGGAGGTCAGACTCCAGAGAAGAGGGCGTCTCCCCTCAATCTGTGAGTCTGGGCCCCCTGCCCCATGGTGTTGATTCTGAGCCTGGAGGTGCCGTGGGGATGTTGAGGGACCTTTGGGGTCACTTGATGAGATCTCCCGTGGGGCAGGGTCTCACCTTGGCCCCCTCTCTGCCTTCCAGGCCCGGAAGACCTTGTTCACCAGGAGATCCAGGGGGGCCTGGGGGCCCCCTCTCACCCAGAGGCCCTGCTTCTCCCGTCTTTCCCTGGAGAGGAAGAAGGCTCATCTTGAATGGAGGTGGCCTGGGGTGGGGGTCTGCCTGAGATCACCTCCCCCTCCCCCAAATATCCCCGAACTGGTACAAAACTAGGGAGACCTGTGGGGTCCACTCTGACCTGAGGACCCACGACACCAGCTGGTCCAGGTGGGCCTGTCTGACCTTGGAAGCCCTGAGGAGAAACATTAAAAGGAGGTGTCATGAAAAAAAAACAAAAAACAAAAACAAAAACAAAATGGAGGTGTCATGGAGGGGAAGAAATGGAGAGCCTAATGGGGTCATGGGTCAGAGGTCAAAGGGTTTCTCACCAATTCTCCTCTAGGTCCAGGGTGCCCACGTTGCCCGTCTTTCCCTTGGGGGCCCTGAGGGACAAGGTGGGAGAGAGTTGAGGCACAAACAAGGAGTCCCCCCACTGCCTGGCTCCCCCTTCCCCCCAGCAGGGTGAGCTCACTTACAGGGGGACCCTTTGGTCCAGAGAACCCAGGAGGGCCTTGCAGACCTGGGAGGCCCTGAAATGGAAGCAGAAATCATTCACTCATCCCTCCCGCCTGCCCCTGAGTCCCACATAATGACAACAGCATGTTGGGTGCTTCCTGCAGGCCAGGCATGGGGTCAAGCATTCTATGCACAGGAAGTCATTTCATTCACCACTGCAGCCCTTTGGGATGGGGACTGTGGTTATTCCCATTTGATAGAGTTGGAAACTGAGGCACAGAGAGGTTAAGTGACTCACCCAAGGTCACACCGCAGGTGAATGGCAGAGCTAAGACTTGAACTCACAGCTCTCTGACTTCAGAGGCTGTGCTTTTTCTGCATTATAATGTCTCCCCACCTTCTGGGCTTGTCTCCTACCCAGAATCACACACACACACACACACACACACACACACACACTCACTCACTCACTCACTCACTCACTCACCTTTTCTCCAGGGAACCCAGGGGCTCCGTCCTGGCCCACATCACCCTAGGATGGAATGAATGAGACTCAGGCTGCAGAACGAACTCAACGAGGAGGTATTGGGTGGGACTTGGTGAGCCCGGGGCAGAGGGCCTGCTTGGGGGGCCTGACCACCCACCCACCCCATACCTTGGGGCCTGGTTGCCCTGTGGCACCTGGTTGCCCCCTCTCTCCACGGGAGCCCTGAATAGAAAAGAAGCAAACATTGGAAGTGAGAGGGTGGGGGAGCCTAGGAGATGAGGATGAGTCCTCTGGGTCCCCCCACCATGACTACCTGAAGTAACCCCAACCCTCTTCCCGCCCACTTCTCCTCTCGTAGCCCCTCCTTCCAGCCCTGCCCCCATTTTCTTACTGGTGGTCCCCGCTCTCCTTCCAGGCCTGGCTGCCCAGCCTTCCCCTGGAATGTAAATTAGATGAGGGGGAAGCAGAAGAGGATGATGGTGCAAATACATGACACAAACACACAAATGCACCCAGTCAGAGACCTGGAAAGATGCCTGCCCCACATTCATTTGCAAGCCTTTCACTCACACGCACGCATCAGTACAGCTTACACATGCAACTACGCAAAGATCACAGGCACCCAATTATATTATGATTACACCTACAGGTCCACACATACAAGCACATTTGCTCACACAGACACCTATTTATCACAGCTGCATGGTATGCACACATGACTGCATGCCATCGCAGCACGCAAGGGGGGACCGCAGCTTCGAGATGACACTCGGAGCCTGTCATGTAATATGTCCCTTGCACACGTGTCTATCCAGTGTAAACACGTATGTGCATGGATTCATGTGAGGACACGGTCCTGATAAACACAGCAGTATACAAACCCTTGCGTGCATATACACAATGTCCATTTACATAGCTACAGTGCACCCATAGCGAAACAACGCATGCATGTATACACAATCCCCCAGGTGTGCAGAAACACACACATATGTGTATTTCCCTATTCTTTCACACACTTCGACATACCCCCTCACACATGTATGCCCATAGTCACACAACGTACGTGCAGCTGGTGCCCTCGTTCACCCAGTCACAGGCCCCTAGGCTGCAGCATCCAGACCCCATCTAATCTGTACTGAAAGGCACACGGGAGGCACATGCGTACACAGACACGCAGGCACATTTGCTGTAATGCCAGGTGGGATCACCTACATGTGCCCTGCATTGCACATGGCAATATGTGTGCACACAAGTGCTTCCAGGCATAGACACAGCCACCTAGGGCCCCACGTGCTATCACGCACAGCCATACACTCTGTTCCTCTCATGCAAGCCCTTCCCTCTCCCCTGACCCCTGGATTGCGACTCACCCGCTTCCCTTTTTCTCCTAATGGTGCCAGGGGCCCGGGAAAGCCAATAGATCCCTGAGTAAAGAGGATGAGAGAGAAGACATGGGTGTGAGGAGTGGGTGACGTTAGCCCCTCACCGCATTCAGCCACCCCATCTTTTCAGGCATTTCCAGGCCAGTGATTCCAGAAAGTCTTTGGCCCCTCCAGCCCCAGTGAGCAGCCCCTCCCTTGCTCACTCCATTCCAGCCACACTGGCCTCTTTAATGCTACTCAGATACCAGTACATTCCTGCCTCAGGGCCATTGCACTGGCTGCCTTTGCCTAAAATGCTCTTCTCTCAGATCCCCACAAAGCCAGCTACTCCTCATCATTTAAATCTCATTCAGACATCACCTCCTTAGAGAAGCTTTCCGCCATCATCCTGACCACCACATCCTCAAGTCATGCTCTGTTTATCACGTCCTATTTTGTTTCCCCTGTAATATTTGTATTGAAATGACCCTGCTCATCTGTTTACTTATTCAATGACTAGGACATAATGCTCCGGTCTTATTCTCTACTGCCTGGCACATGGTGGTGTCTTACTCAATACTTGTTAATTGACTGCCTCCAGTACTTGCTTTCCTGCCCATCGTCCCTTGACCTGGGGGAAAACATCATATGCTCTGATATCCCCTCTCACCCCTCACTGTGTTTTGAATCCTAGATCCATCACTAAATTAGCTGTGTGGCCCTGGACAAATGGATTGACCCCTCTGAGCATCAGTCTCCTTTGTAGCCTGGGGATACCAACAATACCTCCTTCACAAGGTTTTCGTTAGGATTAAATGGGATATATATAGAAAGTGGGGTTTTTTTTTTTAAAGGTACTTGGCACATAGTATGTGCTCGAGAAATATTCGCTGTCTTTGTTATTCATGGTGATTATTAGTAAGTGCTATGGACTGAATGTTTGTGTCCTCCCAAAATTCATATGCTGAAGCCTCAGTCCCTAGTGTGATAATATTTGGAGGTTGGGCCTTTGGGAAGTAAGTAGGTCATGAGGGTGGGGCCCTCGTGAATGGGATTAGTGTCTTTATAAGAAGAAGAGGAGACTAGATCTCTCTCTCTCTCTCTCTCTTTCTCTCTCTCTCTCTCTCTCTCTCTCTCTCTCTCTCCTTCTCCCTCTCCCCTATGTGAGGACAAAGACAGAAAATGTTCATCTACAAACCAGGAGAAAAGCCCTCACCAGAATCCAACCATGCTGGCACTCTGATCTCAGACTTCTGGCCTCCAGAACAAATTTCTGTGTTTAAATCACCCAGTCTAAGGTATTTTTACTCTAGCAACCCAAGCTGAATAAGACACTGACCTCAACCAGGCCGACATATCAGGCCTCCTGTAAAGTATTCATTGCTTGTTGCCCAAGACACACTGATCAGTCCTGGCTACGAGACTTTGTTCTAACTCCCATGAATTTCTGTTCCAACAGGCTGAGTTCTGCTCTTAGTTTTGATACCTTGAGTTAATCCCAAACCTATTTATATCAGTTGCCCTTGCTATTGGGGTCATGTGACTTAATGAAACCTTACAAAAACTGATGAAATGTAGAAAGGGAAAAGAAAGAGATCTGTAAAATCTAGGTTAAATGGAAAAGACTCAATGTAAAGGGAAGTCACTAAAAAAAAAAACACTGTCCAATTAGGCACGGGCAAGATACCTGCTAGATCGAGATACCAAAAGTGTGGAACTCAAGAAGGATTCTGCACTCAGATTTCTTCCCAAGTGTCTTTGCGTTTCCGCTCCACTTTATGTAAAAAAAACTATAAATCATCAGTGATGTAATATGGGTGTGGTTTAGGCAGAAAGACATGTCTTACCAATAGCCTCATTCATCAAAACATTGGCAGCCAAATGTACAGTTTTACATAAGTACATTCTAAGTTATAATTAATTCAAGATATGTAAAATATGTATTTTTTATGATTCTCCTCCTTACTGACTTGTTTGAACCAACCTCAATCATACCAAATAAGAAGGATCCTACAGTTTTATTATCACCAAAATCATCAATTTTATCATCATCAAATTGATGAGGTAGATACTACTGGTATCTCCCTTTCGTAACTGAGAAAATGGGTTCAATAGACTTGTTCAAGATCATTTAGCAGGTAAGGTGTGACTTACTCAAGGTCACTTAGCAGATAAGGCTGGGTATTTGAGCCTAAGTTTGTCTGATGCCAAAGCCCACATCTTACACTTTCAATGCCCCATGGGGTGGACAGCTCACACCCTCAGACCACAGCCTGGACCCCCAGATGTTAATCAGTCTCTGAACCCTGCCCTTGCCCACCACCCTCCTGCTAGCTTCTGACCTTAGGGCCTGGACGTCCTGGGTAACCTGGGAGACCCGGCACCCCAAGCTTGCCCTGCAGAGAGATTATGGGACAAAGGTCAGAGACTGCAACTTGGAGGTAAGTGGGGGAGGGGCAGGAAGGCTGGGGCATGGTTGCAGGGGTGGGGGTGGGGGGATTCAGGGAAACATGGGTTCAAGTCCTGGCCCCTGCCTGCTAGGGGTATGTCCTTGGGCAACTCATTCAACCATTCCAAATCTCAGTTTCCTTGTCTGTAAAATGGGGGTAAAAATGTCTGTTGCCCGTGGTGGTTATGGGGACAAAAATAAGATAAAGTGCATGGAATTGCTCTGTAATGCTGAGCTGGGGAATTGAAGGAGCTGAGAGCCTCCTGAAGTTGGAGATAAAACAGCAGAGGGCAGAAGGCAAAGGGCCAGGGAACACCTTGCCTGCAGGCTAGAAGCTGGGGTATAGACTGGAGGGGGTGACCAGGTCCACTCACCTTCTCCCCAGCTGAGCCTGGGGGCCCCTCCTCACCAGGAAGCCCCACCTGCCCCTTCAGCCCTTCAGGACCATCCTCTCCCCGAGGACCTGGGGGTCCGGGTTGCCCCTGGAATAGAAAAGGAGAAGCCCTGACATCAGTCCCTTTGTCATTCCTGTCTTTGGCCCAGTTCACCCCCTCCCTCTCTTTCCCAAGTCCCCCAGATCCACCAGACCCCTCCTCTGGAGGTCATCTTACCCAATCGCCTTTAAGCCCTACATCACCCTTGAAGCCTGGGAAGCCATCCTCTCCCTGGGTGGAAGATAGTACAGAGATCAGATGTCAGGGCTTCAGGGAAGGGACACAGCCAGAGCCCCATTATTAGGGTTCCCCCCTCAAGGAATCCCCTCCCTTCTCACCTTCTCTCCTTTCTCCCCCTGGAGGCCCCGGTTGCCAGAGGTACCCTGAAAAATATAAAAGCTCTCAGGTCCCCCCTTCCCCCCACTTAAGAAGGGCTCCAGACTCGGGCCCCGGACTCAGTCCCCTGCCCTGAAACAGCCAGCAGAGTCCCAAGCGGATGTCAGACTGGAGGAAGGGGGGTGAGGGTCAGCCCCAGAGGAAATTATCTTTCCCCAAAATCTGCTAGTATGGTGTGCAAGAGGCTGCCTCTCCCCCCACCCCTTCCCACTGGCAGCCTCCCAAGGTCATCTGTGTGGGGGAGTGCAGGGAAGGCCAAGTTTCCAAGTAATTGATTCCCATCTCCCGGGGACACTGTGTCCACGGTTCCTTCTGGCAGGAGAAAGAGGATGAACATTCCAGGCCCCGGCTGCATTCTAAAGGCAAAGGAATGTTTCCCATTGTGCTGGCTACAATGCAACTCTGTGCCTGGCAACAAGGGGAGTCTGTGCTTGGCTACAGCAAGACTGCTCAGTGCAAGCCCAGATGCTGCTCCAGCCAAATTCTGGGCTTGGGCCACAAGAAAAGCTGCACTTGGCTACAGTGTAACTGAGCTCAGCCACTAAAATGAAATTGTACTTGGATACAATACAACTGTGTTTTCACAATAGCATGACTGTTTCCAGCCACAGGGAGACACGATATTAACCGAACTCAGTGACTACAACAAAATTATACTTGGATACAATATAACTATGTGGTTTTGTTTTTGTTTTTTTGTTTTTTTGCGGTACGCGGGCCTCTCACTGTTGTGGCCTCTCCCATTGCGGAGCACAGGCTCCGGACGCGCAGGCTCAGCGGCCATGGCTCACGGGCCCAGCCGCTCTGCGGCATGTGGGATCCTCCCGGACCGGGGCATGAACCCGTGTCCCCTGCATCGGCAGGCGGACTCTCAACCACTGCGCCACCAGGGAAGCCCATAACCGTGTGTTTTGACAATAGCATGACTGTCTCTAGCCACAGGGCAATTCATTGGCCACAATGTAACTGAGCTTGGCTACAATTGTTCTCTGGCCATGGCTACCATGTAACTAGACTCAGCAACAACATAGCCTTCAACTATATATAGGAAACCATGCCTGGCTACAATGGAACTCTGAGTTTGGACACCCACAGGATTTTGTGGCCAGCTACAATAGAACCACCTCCTTGGTTATAGTGTAACTAAGCTTGTCTATAACGCAAAAATGGGAGGAGCCAGCTCTTGGCTACCATCAAACTCTGTTTTTAGACTACAGGTAATGGATACCTGTACTTGGCTACAATGTAACTGGACTCAGCTACCATATAGATGTGAATTCCAATGTCCCTGCGCTGGGTCAACAGTGAATCTCTATTCAGTACAGCTCTCAGCTCGTCTTAGCATTTCTGGGCTTGCATATGGTATGGCTCTGGGCTTGAGCTTTCAAACAACCCTCTGCTTGATTACAGTGTGCTGACCTGGACCTGGACATGATGTGTGTGCTTCCAGTGAAATGGGTTCAGCCTCTAATGGCTTTAACTGTTCTCGACTACAAGGTGAAAACCATGCTGTACTGTTACCCTTTGGCTTTTCAGCTCCAAAGTAGCTATATATTGTCACTTCTACCACACCTTGCCTGGAAGACTGATTCCTCTCATCACACACACAGAAGTTTCTGATAGAGCTGGCTTCCAGAGGTCCATGCTGATGGATCAACCCTATCTGCAGGGAATTCCTTGGCAGTCCAGTGGTTAGGGCTCCGCACTTTCACTGCTGAGGGCCTGGGTTTGATGCCTGGTCGGGGAACTAAGGTCCCACAAGTCGCGCAGCACGGCCAAAAAAAAAAAAAATAAACTCTATCTGCAGGCCCCAAGTATCACTTACCTTCACACCCCGAGGTCCAGGATAGCCCGGAGGGCCTGCCGACCCTGCTGGACCCTGAGATGGACATAAGATGAGTGCCATCCTGTTCTCCCCCCTCCATGTTCCCAGTGCCCTCATCTCTCTTCTCATTAATAGCCCCTGACTCCTGGCCCTGCCTGCCAACCCTCATCCCCAAATCAGCCCGTCTCCAGGTCACTTACCTGGGCCCCTTTCTCTCCTGTTGGGCCCTCATGACCTGGGTGACCCTAGGAGATAAACATTCTAAGTTGTCCGGGACCTGATATGCCATCCAAATTCCCAAGCCTCCCCACTTCTCCTTCCTCCTTCTCCCAGAATCTAGTTCTCACCAGAGGGCCATCAGATCCTGGGAGGCCTGGAATTCCTGGGTTCCCAGGGGGACCCTGAAAGAAGATGAACAGTAGGGGGAGACAGAGGGTCTCAGAGCCCGGCATTCCACCAGGAACATCCCTACTCAGACATACAGCTACCTCAAGGTTAGAGAAAAAACAGATCCTACTGGCCAGAAAACCTATCCTCAGCTCTTCCAAACTTGCTGTGTGACCCTGGACAAGCTCTCTCCCCTCTCCGTGCCTCAGAAATCCTCTGCTTCTGGGAGGGCTGAGACAAGGGATGTAAAAACAGTGTGAGAGACATGCTGGGGTGGGGGGCTCCCCAGCCACACCTCTTCCTTTAGAAGCACCTCCAACCCACAGCTCCACCTGAAGAGGTGTGGGTGTGGGCCTAGGCAGGCCTAAGGTGACCCCCTATGTCCTGCAAACCATTGACAAGTCCAGAGGCGGGCACTTGGCCCAGATAAGCCAATCAGATTCTTTCCTGAAATTTTGAGGTAAGGGATATCTTGCCTCATAGAAACTATGACCAGATGGATTTGGATAAAGAAACTGTAAGGTCATAAGGAAGTGGGGACTGAAATAGTGACAGAGCAGCACAAGGGTGTGTAGAAACAGAAGTTGGGGTAAGAACAGACTAAGATGGAAATAGAAAGAAGCCTGTTTTTCACGGGAGATGGAAACAGATGTGCAGAGGAAGAAAGATGACACCACAAGACCCGAGACAAATGGATTTCCTGGCCCGTGAGCCTTGGTAATATTTTCTATGATTGGCTCCTGAGGGTTCCCCTCTCTCCTGACAATATCCCCGTCTGATCTAGCCTTGGTGCAGTTCTGTTTCTGGCCATCAACCCCTCCCCAGCAATGACATTTGGTAACTCTGAGCTTATTTAGGGAATGTTGCATTATCCAGGGCTTACAAAAGGGGCCCTGGTGGGAAGATTTTCCTGCAGGCAGAGTTGAAGGGAAAAGATGTTGGGGGAGGGGAGGGAAGGGAGGGAGAGTTGTCACTCACCTTCTCCCCAGGAGTGCCAATGGGTCCCTGGGGGCCGGGGATTCCCTGGAAATATTTTTTAAAAAGGGGAGAAGGAAAGCATGAGAAAGCGGCAGCAAGTACAGAGGCTGGGGAAGCCAGGAGCGGTCTATGACCTCCGCTGAGCGCCACGACACCCCGCCCCCTCTGTCAGGAAAGATAGCTCAAACCTGGGACCCGGGATTTCCCTGCTGTCCTGGGGGGCCTGGTTCTCCTGGAGGACCCTGGGGAGAAAGTGAGGGTTCTGTGAAGCCGGAAGGGATTATGGTGTTGAGGTGTCAGGGAAGTTGAAACGGGGGATCATGGGAGTGGACAAGGATATGGGTGGTCCTAGGGTCAGAGTGTCAGAACGCATCAGGGATCAGGACACATACCACATTTCCTTTGGCACCTGGAGCACCGTCACTTCCAACTACACCCTGGGGGGGGAGAGGGTGTGAGACCAGGGCAGACCCAGGCACAGGAGCCTGCGTCTGAGACACTGAGAGGCACAGGTGAAAAGGTGAGTGGACAGAGAATCCAGGCAACAGAAATGGACATGCAGAGGAGATAAAGGTGAGAAAAAGACAAACGGGATGTAGAGAGACAGCGACATTCTCACCGGGCGTCCCAAGGGGCCAGGGGAGCCTCTAGGACCAATCAGTCCTCGGGGGCCCTGCAAGGAGGTAGGAAAGTTATTCCAGCATCACTGCTCTGAGGTCCCAGGAGTCCTGACTCCCTCCCCTGTGCCAGGCAAGGGGCCCAGGGGTCCCTGATACTCACCGGCTCCCCAGCCTGGCCGGTGGGCCCCGGAGGTCCCTCTGCTCCCTGTGGGAAAGCATATGACTTGGGGAAGGGGGAGGTATAACCCTCAGAGAATCACCTTCTCTCATATCGGCAGCCCCTTCCAGGGAATCTCAGAGTCAGAGTGTGTGGCAGGATCTAGCCAACTGCGTATACGTGATTTGATTCAGGCCCCTGACCCCGATCCTGGACCTGCAATCCTGGGTTTAACCCCTCAACTCTAGTCCTAACCCCACAACTCTCAGCCTGTCTCTTTGAGCCCCACCGGGGTCTCCTGACTCTCCAGTGCAGACCTTCACCCCTCCCCCAGGTTCCTGAATGCTCTACTCCTCCTGTTCTGGCTTTCTAGCTTCCAAACCACCCCCTAACTCTCTTCCAAACTTACCTTCTCACCATCCTCTCCTGGGGGGCCAGGTTGCCCCACATGACCAAAGTCACCCTGGAGTGGGGAACACAGAGGGCAGTTCAGAGTCAACAAGTGGAGACCAGCCCCCAGGAAAGGAGATGGGGTATTAGGGGTGAGGACTCAGACCCAGGAACGGAGGCTCTGATATTGGGGGTGGGGAGGGTGTTATGAACATTGGGAGGGGGCTTGGATATGCGGAAGGGGTCTCACACACTCACCCTCTGGCCCTTCTCTCCAGGCAGCCCTGGCAAGCCGTCAAAGCCCTGATCACCCTGCACAAAGAAACATCAGCTGAGGGACTTCCCTGGGGGGTCCAGTGGGAAAGACTCCGTGCTCCCAAAGCAGGGGGGCCCGGGTTCGATCCCTGGTCGGGGAACTAGATCCCACATGCATGCCGCAACTAAGAGTTCGCATGCCACAGCTAAGACCTGGCACAGCCAAAATAAATAAAGAAATAATAAATATTTTAAAATAAATGAATTAAAATAAATTGGAAGAAAAAAGAAAGAAAGAAACGCCAGCTGAGCTTTGAATCCTCTACCCTGGCAGTCCCTCCAAGTCCCAGGCCTGGCCCCATCACCTACCTTAGGTCCTGTGTCCCCTGGGAGGCCTCGAGCCCCATCTGCTCCAGGGCGGCCCTATGGGGGAGATGACATCATCAAGATATCTACTACCATGTATCGAGCACCTTCCTCATGCAGTGTCTTATGCTGGGGGCTTCTATATGTACCAATTTAACCTCTTAAATATATCTCAAACCCGTCCATTATTCTTTAGCCCTAGTGCCCTTTCTCTAGCTCAAGTTATCATCATCACAAAAATTAAGAACACTCATGTTCAGTCTCCATTAATTTCCCTGCTGTATGTTCCTCATGGCACTTTAAGACTATCTGGAGGGCTTCCTGGTGGCGCAGTGGTGAAGAATCCACCTGCCAATGCAGGGGACACGGGTTCGGTGCCTGGTCCGGGAAGATCCCACCTGCCGCAGAGCAACTAAGCCCATGTGCCAAAACTACTGAGCCCGTGTGTGCAGCTACTGAAGCCCACACACCTAGAACCTGTGCTCCACACCAGGAGAAGCCACTACAATGAGAAGGCCGCACACCGCAACAAAGAGTAGCCCCTGCTCACCGCAGCTAGAGAAGAGCATGCACGCAACAACAAAAACACAACACGGCCAAAAAATAAATTAAAAAAAAACCTATCTGGAATTATCCTCTTCATCATTTCCCCCAATGTGCCAGTCTTTTCTTTTGCATGTGCTGTTCTTTCTACTTGGAATGCCCTTCCTCTCCTTTTTCCCTGGTTATACCTCAGATCTCAGTTCAAGCATCATTCCTCTGCAAGTCCTCCCAGACTCGGGGACTTGGCCAGATTCCTTTATCACACCCTCAGTGTACTGTCATTCTCTGTCCTCAGTGCTCTTATCCCACCAATGACACCAGCAGACCCTGGGAGCACAGAGCTGAGGCTCCTGTTGGGTGTTGGGAGATGGATAAGGGATGACCTGAGGACCTAGGAGTCACTCACCATCTTTCCCTGTCTGCCAGGGGGTCCACGAGGTCCCTGAAGTCCTCGGGGGCCCTAGAAGAGAAAGGAAAGGAGAAAGAAAAATGTCAGTAATTGCAAGGGTAATCCCAGCCGCTTTGCCATTTTCCCCAGCTAGCACTTTATCCTGTAGCCCTGTGAGAAGACCCTTCCCATCAACCCTGTCCCCACCCCCACAAATCTCACCTGTGGCCCCATTTCTCCCATCTCTCCTTTTAGACCTGGATACCCAGGGAGACCCTTGGAGGAAGAAAGATAAGGTAATGCATTTAGAGGGAGTTTGAGTTAGAGTCATCTCCGCTTATGTACTCCCCACTCCACACAGCCTCCTTACTCACCACGGGGCCTGGGCGCCCAGTGAGCCCCACCAGGCCAGGGGGGCCTTTCATAGAGAGCTGAAGAGACAGGGGAACAAAGCCATCAACAGAAGTTAAATATACACCTGTCTCCTGACTATTCACCATCTCCCATCTCTGTCATTCTCTCAGTTTCCTCCCATCACCCCCTGACATTCTCCCAGTTGTCCTCCACTCACCTGAGCTTGTTGCAGGACTGCCTGAGCCTGGGCCTGCTGGAAGGAGACTGGGGGTCCTTTGAGGGAGCCTCTTGCAAACTGGAACTAGGGGGCAACTAGTAGTGAGGGAAGCCTCCAGGAGAGGCCCTCCTCCTTGGTCAGGATTCTACTCCCCAAGGCTGTGCCACCCTCTCTCCCTCTTACCGGTATCATGATCACAGTGCCTGGTAGACCCCGGATCCCATCAACTCCAGGGATTCCTGGGAGGCCAGCGGGGCCCTGAGAGAGGGACAGAGACAGAGAGGGATGGAGGTAGAGAGATGGAGAGAGGCAAGGAGGGAGAGACAGAGAAAGATGGAGGCAGGGAGAGAGAGAGAGAGAGAAGAGACAGATGGTGAGAGAAAGAGAAATGGAGGGAAGGAGAAAGAGTCATAAAAAGTGGAAGAGACAAAAACAGAAAGAGACAGACAGACAGACAAAAGAGAGAAGAGGAAACGGGCACAGAGACATAGGGAGAAAGACAGAGAGGAAAGACACTCAGGGATAGAGACAGAAGGAGAAAGGCAGGGGAGAGCGCCCCCTCCCAGAGACAGAAGAGGAGACAGAATGATAATTCCCAGACGGGGAGGAGGATGAAGCGGAAGGGTCAGAGCCAGCTCCAGTCGCAGCCATGCTGCCAACTTGAAACCTCACTCTCCCAGGAGTTTACACCGCACAGGAAGTCTCTTACCGGTAGACCAGGGTCCCCAGGGAATCCTGGCGGGCCAGGAGGACCTGAGGGGCCAACCACCCCCTGTTGGGGACAGAGGAACAGAGGTCATGACAAATGCAAAGTCTGAGCCAGGCTGACTTCCAAACCACCACTGACACTGACCCCATACTGACCTTCCTACCCCATCACCGAGCCACCCCTGGCCCCTCAATACTATACTGACACATATAAACCCCCAACTTTACCTCTCAACCCCTATTTTTACTCATCTTTTGAGCCTCAAATATCCAATCGTCTTCAAATGATCTGGCAACATTACACCCCAGCTCCCCACCCCAGAGGATCAAATACCCCAACTGGAAGTAAAAGACAGGGGAATGCAGCCATGACTCACTTGGGGTCCTGGGCCTCCTGGAAGTCCTTCAAACTGCTGTCCCTGGGGGAGAAATAAGTGTGACCCCCATTCTAGCACAGACCCCGCCACGTCCTCCAGCCCCAGGCCCCTCACCTGTTCAATCACGGCCGGTTCTCCTTTTTCTCCCTTCTCCCCAGCGCCCTGGGGCAGGGGATGGAAAGAGAAGAGGTGTGAGCCCTGGAACTCAGACATAGAACTCTCAGCTAACTTACCTCCCACTCATCACACACACACACACACACAGGCACGCATGCGTGCACAGAGTCCACCCTCTGAGCTGTCTCTGCTGTCCTTTCTTCAACCAGTGTGTTTTGAGCAGCTCATCCTCCAGTTTCAAGCTGGCCACGCTGCAGCAAGGTAAGGAACATGAACCCTGGGGCATACTGTGGAGTCCTCATCCTGGAGCTGCCTCTCAAAAGCTGAGTGATGTTGGGCCACTTATTCAACTCCTATGGCCTCACCTGCATAGCGTGTGGGTGAACGCCGACTGTATACATCCCACGGGAAGATAAAGAAGCTAAAACAATGCTTAGCACATACCAGGCACTCGGAGTAAGATGGTTAGGATTCTTCACCTTCTCCCCCGTCCAACACCAAAGCTAGAACCTAGACACCTTCTCTGTCTGCCTTATGCTCCTAGGCAATCTCATCCCTTAGCTGAAGACAGCATCTCTCCGCTGATGAGTTCCAAGTCTTTATCTCCAGGCTAGACCATCTTCCTTGAACTCCAGAATTTTCTAACCCATCACTTGCACTGACAATCAGACAAGGGTTGCCCGTTGAGCACATCCAAAATGAGATCCTTGACACTTTCCACCTGCTCCTCCGTCAGGCTTCCCCATCCTACTCAGTGGCGCCACTGTGCATCTACCCGGTCATCTTTGAATTGTTCTCCACATACAGCAGCAAGAGCAAAATGGGGCACGTCCCCAATCTGTCCAACTTTTCTCTATCCCCGCTACAGCCACCACCCTCATCCAGGTCACCACTCTGTTTTGCATAGACTACTGGTTTCCCTGCTGCCCCTCTGGCTCCCCCTACAGTCCATATGCTGTTCGGCAGCTAGAGAGAGCTTTGAAAACTCCCAAGTCAGATCGCATTCCAATCTCAAGTGGCTTCTCATCATGCTTAGGCTAAAAACCAGATGAATCACCCTACCCACAGAGCCATTCATGAGCACAATGCCTGTCACATTAGCGTAGTGTCTGTAGATAAATATTTGTCAACTGCGCTGGGGTGGTGGGAAGGCATTCCAGGCAAGATAAAAATAAAAGCAAAAGAGAGAATGCAGCTATGTGTGGCTCCAGGTAGGAGTCCCTCCCCCTGCACCTAACCCAGCCACCCAGACGCACAGGAAAGATCTGCAACTCAGTCCTCCATGACTGTTCTGCTGCCCGGAAGTGGGGGCCCATGGTGGGACCACCTTCTTCTTCTTCTTCTCTGGCTAACTCAGTCTCCACGGTCTCCAGTTCAGTTCCATTGTCGGGGTCCAAGCTCTCCTGAGGACATCGGGACAGACCAAAGTTTACCCCTGGCCTCCTCATTGTCTGCCACCACCACTGCCCCAGGACCTTCCCTTCCAGCCTCGTCCGCTTCCCACAACCTCTAGGACGGTGACGTTGCTGCCAATGGCCACAGTCGTGGTGATGACCAAAGGCGCGGGAGTTGGAGGCAGAGTTGGAGCTGGTGTCTCTGTCTTGGGGATGTCAGTGGAGGTCTGGAGGAAGGACAGAGAAGGTACCAGGTCTGGGGTCAGGACAATCAAGACAAAAGGGAGACGAAGGAAGAGACAGACTCTCTCTCCCAGAGCACCCAGTCTAGGGAGGGGGACAGAGGAGGATTCCCAAAAAAAAACATCACAGGGGTATGGGGCAGGGGGCTGGCCAGTGCAGGCGAAGGTGTGCTGGCTGGACAAGGACAGCCAGCAGGGAGAGCCCTTGTGTGTGGAGGAGGGGCAGGGCTGGCAGGTCTGGAAGGCCTGGAAGGCAGAGTGGGGCTGGCTCCAAAGCCCAGGGGTCAGGGTCAATGTCCACCACTCAGGGCCAGACTCCCGGAAGCCTATCCCATATGTCCTCTCTCAAGGCAGATCTCAGCAGTCTGTCAGCCAGCCAGGCCACAGTCAGAGAAGGAGTGGGAGGTCCTCCTGGCCTGGACAGCTGCAGAGGAACTGGGTTAAGGGCGCACAGCAGGTGATGGGGGCCCAGGTGAAGGCTAAGGAAGGGGCTGAGAAAGGGTAGGCTACTCCTGGTGTCTCTGTTCTAGGCTGAAGGGATAACCCTTTTTCTCCCCACTGATGCGGCGAGCAGATGTAGTGCAACCAGTGACCCTCCAACCAAGGACCCTGACCAGTGGCCCACACCAGGGACACCTACCCAGTGACCCCCAACTAATGGCCCCCAATTATTCCTACAGCCAGTGACCCATTAACGACCCCCAATTAATGACCCGTGACAAGTGATCCCCACTAAGGGACCTAACCAATGACCCATACACACCTACTAATAACCCAAATCATTGGCCTCCCACCAGTTATTCCTATAACCAGTGACCCATCAATGACTTCCCAACTAATTACCCATCAGGGACTCCCAAACTAACCATCTCATCCATGACCCCCTGAAAGGCACTCCCCCAGCTAGTGACCCCAGCTGGTGATTCCACTAGTGCCTTCTAATCAGTGGTCCCCCACTGGGGACTTGCCCAACTAGTGGTCCTTGGCAATGAGCCCCACACCATTAACCCTAAACTACAGACCCCAATAACACCAACAGCGGCCTCCGTCAGTGACCTCTAACAGTGACCTCCAGCTAGGGAACCCCCGAACATCAACCTCAGTCAGTATCTCTCTACAATGATTCCCCCCAACCAGCAACCTCCATCAGTGTCCCCCCCAGCTAGCGACCCCCAATGAATACCCCTCCCCCATGACCCCAACCAGTCAACCCCAAACAATGACACACTAGCTAACGAACCCATCGTTCACCCCAGCTAGTGGCTCCCCTTAAACAGGAGCCCTCATCAAGAGCCCCCTCATCATAAGGTACCCGACGGGGTGCGCTCCCTCTCTCTAGTCCCCCCGCAGAACTGGAAGTTGGGAGGGAGATATGAAAGAGCACCCAAGACAGGACCAGACCCCCGACAAGTGATCGGTCAGCTGAGAGAAGTCAAAGGTCAGTTACTGGAGACAAGAGGCAGAGACCTTGCATGAGGCCCAAGGGATCGTGGGGATCAGAGGCCAGAAGCAGGGCGGTCAAAGAACAGAGGGGAGATACCGCAGACCCCTTACCTGGTTCTCCAGGGAGACGGGAGGTGGGCTCAGGGCCAAAACTTCCTTGTTCTTCTTCTTCCTGCCCTTCCCCTTACGACCTCGCCCTTTTTTCTTCCCTTTTCCCTTCCCCTTCCGCCGACGGGGAGGGGTTTCTGGCTCCCGCTGGGGTACCTGGGAAGAGGACTCCAGTCGGGTCCAGATTCCCTGAGTGGAGGCCCTATCGCTCAGATCACCTGGGGTCATGCTGGCACATGGTCCATTGGTCCTATCTTTTATTTTATTTTATATTTTAAATTTTATTTATTTATTTATTTTTGGCGGTACGCGGGCCTCTCACTGTTGTGGCCTCTCCCGTCGCAGAGCACAGGCTCCGGACGCGCAGGCTCAGCGGCCGTGGCTCACGGGCCCAGCCACTCCGCGGCATGTGGGATCTCCCCGGACAGGGGCACGAACCCGTGTCCCCTGCATCGGCAGGTGGACTCTCAACCACTGCGCCACCAGGGAAGCCCTGGTCCTATCTTTTAAAGCCAGGGCTCACTCAGCCCTGGGACCTGGGGTCAAGGTAAATCATATGATGAGGGGCCAAGGGTCAGTTATGTGACCTGAAGTCAAGGTCATTCATGCCTAAGAACAGTTTAAGGGCAGGGGTCACTCAGCCCCCTGGGTAGGGCTCAGAATTCATTCATTCCTGAGACCTGGAGCCAGGGATGACTCAGCCAGCGACCTCAGGACAAGCTCCTTACTCACCCCTGTGGCTCCAGGATCCAGGTCGTCGCAGCCAGGAAGGTACTGCTCACAGGCTCGGAAGGCAGCCTGAGGATCTGAGCTTATCAGCAGCTCCTGAATATCTCCCTGGGGAGAGAGTGGGGGTCCGGGAAGGGGTCTGCAGGCTGACTCCGACCCCCATTCCAAGCATCAAGGTCTGGTGTTTTTCCACCCAAAGCAGGCTAAGTATAGGGAGGAGGAAACCCCACCGTAGCCCCAGAGATCCCTCTGCCCCAAACAACTGAGAGGAGGAAGATTCTATCAGGGTGACACCAAACCACAACCACAAGCCACACCCCACAACCTCTGTCCCATCAGAGGCACAATTGTTCCTTCACTCGCGGCACATGGCGACACCTACTGTGTGCCAGGTGCCCTTCAAGGTACTGGGGATAAGGAGGGAAGCAAGATGATGAGGTCCCTGGACTGTCATGACACGCATAACAATCACCACATCGAAAACACATCCGTCCCAGAGCCACACGACTCCGTGCCTTGCTGGCATCTCACACCATCACAACCAGCAGCGCCGTCACACATCACGACCTTATCCTTCCACCACAAGTCAAGTATGCACTATCACAAATGATCAGTTCATGGCTTTACAGTCTCACAGGCACATGCCACAAAGATGCACCGTGATGCCCGGCGCTCCCTTCCTCAGCTTCCTGGCGCTAAGTTGAAGCTGGATAGATCCCTTCTCCATTCTCTTCTCCGGATTCAGGCTGTGGACAAATCTCCCTCCTGCCTCCTGCCTCAGTTTCCCCCATCACTGAAGCGCTACCTCAAAAGTCTCCTCCCCGAGGTCCTGGGTCCCCAGCACAGTAAGTCCAGCCATGCTGATGATTCGAGGTCCCTGGCTCAATACGGGGGGCTGAGGTTCACAGTCAGCCACCAGGGTCACCATCCCACCATCCACACTGACCGCCACACGGTGCCACCTGCAAGGGGACAGTCTCAGTGGGGGCGCGCGCTCATCTCACCTCTCCTGGGACTCCCACCTTCCCCATATTCACCTGCCATCCGTGAGGTTGACCTGCTGGGGGAGGGGGCTGAAGGAGTCACCTAGGAGGTCCAGAGCTGGCCCCAACGCCAGGCCCAGCTGCCGGACACCGGCCTCATTGTAGACGGATAGAAGGACAGACTGGTTGGCTGGCCGGCCACGCAGAGTGATCAGCACGGAGAAGCTCTCGGGAAAGTGCTCGGCTGGGAGGGCAGAGGCAAAGGGGCAGCTCAGATGGCCCGACTGTGACCCATGCTCCCACGATGAACCACAGCCCCTCTCACCCTGACTCACCTTGAAAGAGCTCCCACGTGGGGACACTGAGCGTGCTGGCCTTGCCCACCCTGAATGCCCGGTCGCCCTGCGGGACCCTCTGGGGGCAGAGGCCGGGACCCTCGGGGAGCCCAGCCTGGCCCCCCCGCACGCCCAGGGCCTTCAGCACATCCACAGGGTCTGCTACGGAAAGAAGCCAGGGTGCGGGGCAGTTACGACAAGCCCAGCACTCTGCGTGAGTGGCTCGGGTTTGGGGGACTCAGCCCCCCCCAGCTATGTTTGTGGGTCAGGGGGAAGGAGCAGGCCTGGGCCGCATACCCCCCTCACCACTCCACAGCTGTTCCAGCCTCATCAGCCTGTTGACTCCTGTTTTTTTCCCTTGGTTTTCGGTGAGAAAAAAAAAAAAGCTGACCTAGTTCTGGGATGAATCAAAGCTTCCTGGCCTGAGCCCCAGAGCCAAACTGTCCCCCTCTCCACACTCCCCCGCACCAGCTCCCTGGGGCTGCTTCCCAGGCCTGAAGCCCCCCTTGCCAGGGGAAACCCGCTTAGAGAGGAGGGGCTCCTTGAGTGTGTTCTCCCCACCTCTTCCCTGGGCTCCCCTCCCTCTGACCTCCTCCTCGACCACCATCACCCATGACCTCCTCCCTCTGACCTCCTCCTTGACCTTCATCACTCGTGACCTCCTCCCTCTGACCTCCTCCTTGACCTTCATCACTCGTGACCTCCTCCCTCTGACCATTCTTTCCCTGATTTCTCCTGGCCACCCCCTCTGACCTTCCTCTGCCTGACCCTGACCACCACCCTCTGACTACCACCTGACCTCTTCCCTCTTCCTATCCCAGTTTCTTCCATCTGACCTGTGGACCTCCCCACTTTATCACCCCCTCTGACCTTATCCTCTGATCACCTCTCTCTGATAACCTCCTGACCTCCTCCCTCTGACCCGCTCCCTCTCATCCCAGCAAAGGAAGGGACTGGTCCAGTGAGATCCTAACCCAGGCTGTCCTACCAGCCCCACCCGGTGCAGCCTGGCCAGTGCTAAGTGGAACCACATGGCTTGGGCAAGGGTGGGCGGGGTCTTCCCCTGAGCCCCAAACTCCTGCCTGATCTCCCCTCCCCACAGCAGACTGTCCCACTGACCCCCTGACCCAGCCTCTTGGCAGGAGCCGGATTCTGCCATGACCTCACCCCAGGGGCGGCTCTACTGATCTCACCATTGGGATCCAGGGTAGGGGGCCAGACTTGGGGGAGACAGGGGTTTGGATGAGGGCGCCCCCATCCCAGCTTCTCCTGGGTCAGACCCCTCAGTCTTCAGACTCTCCAGAGCCCTGTTCCAACCTCAGCTCTCTCTTGCCCCCAACCTTGTTCTGCTCTCTTTTTCTTCTCTCCCCCTCCCTGCCTTCTCTCTGTCCTACTTTCTGTGTCCAACTCTGAATCAGTCTTTCTCTCTCCCTCCCTCTCTTACTTCCCAGCTCTCCCTCACTCTCTAGCTCTCTGTCTCTGCCTATTGGTATTTCCCTCGGTCTCACATCTGTTTCTCTCTGCATACCTCTATCTCTGTGCCTCTCTATATCTCTGTGTGTGGATTACTCCCTCCATCTCTCTCTCTCTCTCTCTCCCCTAACCCTGCTGCCTCCACCGGCCCCATCTCTAATTGCCTGTTCTGTGGCTGGGTTGTTATTAAGAGGTATTTGGGTTACAGCCCCCTGGGGCTAAAATCTGGGCTCCCAGGCTCTGCTGACCACAAGGGTCATTCTCCCGTGGAATGATCATCCCAGCTGCCCCCTCTCCGGGCGGGGGCCCAGGGGAGGGCTGAGGTCCGTGATTCCCCCCCGTGTGGCTCTCCCAGGCTCTCCTTTCACCCAGACTCCACTTTCTATGCGCTGGGAAGGGGGTCTCTCCTTGACCAACTGCTCGTTAACATTTTAAAAGTCTTTCCCAGCATCTAACCCAAATGTCTCCTGCTTCCATCTGTGTTCCTTCTGTAATGACCTTTCAGAAACCAACTGCCCTTTCTTTCCATGGCTGGCTTTGTGACAAGGAGACACACAAGAGGCATTGAGTCCTGCCTGCAGGGCCAGGGGGCGGCAGTCTGTCAAGTAACTGGCTTGCCCTTCCCCCACAGATTCTCCCCTGCGCTGGTCAGGACCCCAGGGAGAGGCTAGGTGGGGGTCTAGGATGTGGAAGAAGGCAGGCAGGGACCGGGATGGGACATGGCTGGGACCCTCTCAGATAAGTAGGAGAGCCTAGGTGTGAGTGTCTGTGCAAATAGGTACATGCGCGATTGTGTACGTGCATGAGACTGTGCGAGCACGTGTGTGACTCTGTACGGACCAGGGACTAGCTGAGCGTGTGCTTTGCGGCGTGTCGATGTCTGTGGGTGTTTGGCCTCTGATGGAGGGATTAGGTGCAGTCCTTTGACTTGTCCTGGGGTCCTGGCAGTGAGCTCGAGGTCCTGCAGGTGGTGCACGGGAGTCTGTGATAGTAATAGCTCAGACTCCAGATGGAGGAGTGTGGTTATATGTGAGAGCGTGGCCAAGTCAGCGAGTGGGTGACTGGTTGAGAACATCGACTACGTTGTATGGATGCCAGTGGAAGCATGTGTGAGAGTTTGAAAGTGTAGGTGGGTGACAAAAGCTGTGACCGTGGGGCGGGTGGCGGATGGGGCTGCCTTGGCGTGGGCCCCAGGTGTTTAACGTTCTTCGTGTCCCAGCGGCCTTCTATTCTGAGTGCACGCCTGAGATCGCACGACTGTGCGGATGTGTGACCATGGGAGTGGGGCATAGGCCACTTTGGGATTATCCGCGTAAACACACACCTCTCTGGACTACGGAGAAAAGGAGAAAGTGAGAAAGTGGGGGTGGGTGTGTTGGGGTCCTGAGTTCACCTTAGGGAGGGATTACGGGGAGGGCCTGACCTGGGGTATCTCAGACCAGGGAAGTCCCCCTCAATCACCACTTGAGGGACCACGACTTTCCCGAACCCCGGGGCGCCCCCGACCCAGAACCCTCGGGGGCGGGGCGCGGCGTCCAGCCAGATTCGTGCAGCTGGGCGTGCGTCAGCGCTGACTCACCCATCCGGCGGCCCCCGGGACCCCTGAGAAATTCCTCAGGAAAAACACCCGAGGCTCGCTCAGCTTGGGGGAGCAACCTCCACTCCCCCCGCCCCCGCCCGTGCACTGCCCCGCGCCCCGCGCCCCGCCCCGCCCCGCCCCGCCCCGCGCCCCGCCCCGCCTCGCCCCTCACCAAGGCCCTCCCGAGGCCCTGTCCATGGTGCTGATCCCGGCTCAGGGGAGTGCGGGGAGGGGGGAAAGGGGCAAAGATGGCGGGGAAAGGAGGTGGGCGCGCGCTAATTAGGGGCAGAGGGGAAAGAGGGGGAATAAGGTGAAGCTATCTGGGGAGACGCAAAGGGAACTCTGAATCCCAGATCAACCCTCTTCCCTACTAGTCCCCGCTCACCATCCCCCATCCCCCTGGGACTCATCCTCATGGGCAAGTATTTAGCTTCCCAAACCACAACCACAGTCCTCAGAGGGTCACCCAGAGACACACAATCACACGCATAACACACACACGGTTATTCTCAAAATCAGCCCCCCACACAGACACACTCCCCTACCCACAACTCAATCACATACTCGCCCAGAGGCCATATCCCATCACCCAGGTGTACAATCATCGTCATCTCCCACACCCAACACACACAGTTCCACTCCAAATGGCCGCATGCATATTGTTACACACATGTATACCTATAAATTGCATTCATTGCCACGCACCCACCAGGAAACAGGGTCACACGTTTCCCTGACCCCCCCCCCCCCACCAAGCTGTCACACTCACAAACCGCCCAGAGTCAGACACTCGCCCCGCAACACCACACCGTAGCCACGGGCAACGTGCACGACCCCCATGCACGCCCCCGACTCCCGACTCCACGCCGTCTTTGGGGGCCTCGATGGATCCTGCACTCCGGGTCCTATTTTCTCCCTCCCGGCTCACCGGCCTGCGTCCGGGGGAGAAGCTGCAGAGACACCAGGAGCAGGCAGAGGCCGGCCCGCGGCTGGCCCAGGGCCCAGCGACTCCCCATTCCCACGGGACCCACACTCAAGGCGGGGGACCAGCCTGGGCGGCTGCGGGGCGCGGCGACTCCACGGGCTCAGGGCACTCTCGCGGCGGCCGGCTCCACTCGGGATCCACAGGAGACTGCCCGAGACCCCGCCCTGGCCTCGCCCTGCGCTCCAGCTCCGGGCCAGGCGGAGCTCGCGGAAAGGGGGGGGGGGGTAGCTGACAGCTGGTGGGTGGAATTGGGAAAGTTTGTGCTGAGCTCTGATTGCCCAGCTAGGGGTGGAGCCGTGGGCCGGGAGCTGGGCCCTTCTTGCCTCACCCCACAGGGTCGGAGGAGGGTCACTCCCACCCACCCTTAGAATCCGGGGTCCCAGCCTTAGCCCAAACCCTTTTCTCCTAACAGGCCTCCTAACCTTCAGCCTCCATCCAGGCCCTGGAATTAGGGGTACAGCTTTATACCAGATCCTTTCTGTCTCAGCCAGGCCCCCAAATTCTGATGCCAAATTCTCACCCACCTGCCTGGTCCCACAATAAGAGGTACCGACCTCACTCCATACTTTCCCTGCAGGTCCCTAAATAAGGGATCTTCACCCCGCCTCAAACTCCACCCCAGATTCCAAAATGGGGTCCCTAGCCCCACCCCCAAACCCTCACCACAGATTCCAAGACACAGTTCTCACAGTTCTTTCTTTCCCCCAAACTCTTAAACTTCAAATAAAGGCTCCCACCTCCATCCCCAGCCCTCTTCTCCCTGACTCAGGCCCCAGATGGAGGCCCCAGCTCCATTCTCACACATGGCCCATTAAATCAGGGAGTACGGCCCTACCCTAAGCAGGGCACTGCCACAGGGAGGGGTGGACCCCTGCCATTCCTGGGGTGAGGCGGAACCCCCCCTCACCCCACTGGGACCCCCCCCCCCCCATGGGAAGGGGCCCCCAGCGGGTCAGGTCAGGTGCGCTGTTCGTGCGAGACATGCTGGATCTGAAGGAGCTTCCGCAGGGAGGAACCCAAGGGGCATATCCCGGGCCCTGAACTGCCCACTTCCCCCGCCCCGAGGCCAAGAGGGAGAAGCCGGCAGTGTCTCCCTCCCAGCCTCTGGCTCCTCAGACAAAGAGACTCTGTGTCCTTAGGGAGGAGGGGGTGGGGCCCCATCTGGCCTGAGGGGGAGGGGGGCCCTGAGAAGGGGGAGGAGAGGGAATCTCCCCAAGCTGCTCCTCCTTTCTCTCCAGGGACATCAGAGACTAAGACTTTTCTGCCTAAAACGCTCATGAAGTTCGTGCCGTGCCTTGGTCTGTTGGGAAGTTCTTCCTATAGTCTATCGCACCTTCTGACATTTCTGCCCACTCTCTTTGAACGGACCCTTCTGGGACCACACTCTCGGTCACCTCTCTCCAATCACAGATTCTTTGCCCAGAGTAGAGACAGCAAGAGAACACCTCCACTTATTCCCCACACTGCCTGAAACTCCCCCCAGCCCTGGATAATTTATCATCGTAACAAATGCCCCCAGTTTTGAGTGTAGCAGCGAGAGGACATTTTTGACAGATAAAAGGAAGGCACTGTATTGAAGTGAAGGGATTCCCCCCAGCTGCCTGCCCAAAGTCAGTTCATAATTGAGGGCTCCCAGGGCCCATTCATCCTGCAGGTGGGGTGTGCTTAGGAGGGGACAGATGAGCAGAGGATGGGTGGCGGGAGTCAGGTGCCGGCCAGCAGAGGTCACGCGTCCAGAAAGGGATCAACATGGCCGACGCACCCCGGACTGTGCTGATCTCGGGATGCTCCTCGGGAATTGGCCTGGAGCTCGCAGTGCAGCTGGCTCGTGACCCCAGGCAGCGCTACCAGGGTAAGGGGACCAGGGTGAGGCTGGGAAGGACAGGAGTGGGCATGGCTTCCCAAGACCCTTAGCTCTCCCAGCACTAGTTCCACTAGTCCATGACTTCGACTGCATTTGGGGGCTTGGGGAGGACCCAGGACACACGGAGGCCCCCTTCCCACCTCCGCTTGTGAATCATCCCCTCATCCAAAGAATATTTCTAATGCACCCATTGGGTGCCAGATTCTAGGTGCTAGAAACACGGCTGCGAACAGAATAGACAAAAATCTCTGTTCTAGGTAGTGATGTAGTGGGGGAGGTGAGGGAGGACAAACAATAAACAGATTTTTAAATCGTATTAGGTGGCTAGTGCAGATAAGTGGTCAGGAGCAAAATAAAGACAGTGGGGTGGGTGTGGGTGATTTTTTATTTTTTAGAAGGGCTGGCTGGAGAGGGCTTTTCTGAGGTTTCACTTAGTCATTCCCACCCCCACTCATCCTCAGATTAACCTCCAAGATAAGCCTCTTAAGTGACCCTGACCTTGAGGGTTTAAGGAGGAGGGGGCTCTAGGTCTAGAGACTCGGCCCCCTGCCACTCTGGGATCAATAGCCCCAATCTTCACCCCACCCATGGGAACCTTTGACCCAGTGCACACTGGAGTCGAAGTAAGCAAAGGGCCATTACTTAAGAGGAGGATGGAGGGGTGAGGGCATTGCCCCAGTTGGCAGAGTTGCTTCTCCCAGCCCTCTACCCTCTGTCTTAGAGACGTGCACAGCTCTGGGTGTGACAGTCCGGGTGCCAGTGTGCAGAGAGGGAATTGTGCAGCGTGTGCCCCTGTGGGCTGGCAGATGAGTGTCTAACACTGCTGAAGGGTGATGTTTATTGACTGTTTGCAATGTGCCAGGCTTCCTTCTAAGTGTTTTGCATATTAGAAAGTCATTTAATCCCCACATCACCCCGATAAGGTGGACACTATCATTTGTCCCATCTTAGAAATGAGGAAACTGAGGCACCGACTGCCAAAGGTCCTTGCCCAAGCTGGAACTTGGCAGAGTCTGGATCTGAACTCAGGTAGCCCAGCCCCCGGGCCCAGGCTTGTCACCATATGTAGAGGCACGGGGTCCCATTCATGTGTGCAGCACCTGCGAATTACATGGGCTCACAGACAACATGCAAATGTGTGTGTGATTGTGGGTGCAGGCGTTGGGAGGGGCGGGTGCAAACGTGTGTACAGGTGCGTGAGCTCAGCACTCAGACGAACCCAGGTTGAAATCTCAGTTCTCACACCTGCTAGGGGTTGGAGCAGGCAAGAAACCTCACTGTGTTGAGCCTCAGTGTGTTAATGGGGATAATAATATTGCCTACGCGTTCTGATTACTATCGCTAAAAGCAAGTCACCCCAAAATGCATGGGGTGTATGGCGTACACAGCTGTACGCCAAAATGTATGGCGTGAAACAGCTGCAGTCATCTATGTCTCATGGTTTACAAGGGTCATGAACTTGGAAGGGCTCAGCTGGGCGCTTTCGGCTCAGGGTCAAAGGCTCACAGAGGAGACTGGAACAAGTGGTCTTTCTATCTGGGCTAAGCTTGGGCTTCTTCCCAGCACGGTGGCCTCAGGACAGCTGGGCTGCTATAGGGTGGCTGAAGCCTACAAGAGTGAGTATTCCAGCAAGCAAAGCAGAAACTGCAACATCTTTTCCATCCTAATCTCAAAAGCCACACAGGGTTACCTTTACCATCGTCTATTGATTCCCAGCTAGCCACAAGATTCAAGGGGAGAGGAATCAGATTTCATGGGCTGACGGGTGAGCAGCTAGGTTCTAGAACAGCATGTGTGATAAAAGATGTTGAGGCCATCTTTGGAAAATAAGTCAGTGACCTGATCATAGGATTCTTGTAAGGATTAGAGTTAGTGTTTAGAAATGTGTTTAGCATATTATCTGGCATATAGTAGGTGTTCAATAAATTGGAACCTACGTTGATGATGTAAATGGGGCTATCCATACTTGCATATGCATATTTGCACCTATGTTGACTTTAGGTGTGCATGCATTTCTTTTCTCAAGCCATCTGTTCTGTATTTATTTTATTGTCTTAGCTACTGGTTTTGAATTCTGTGAAGGCAGGGACTTTATCTTATTTCATGCAATAGCCTCAGCACCTAGAATAGTGCATAGGGTGTAGTAGATGCTCAATAAATGTTTGCTAGATGAGTGGATGGATGGATGGAAGTATAGACAAATATCTGTACACAAGTATGTATTTGTGGTTGTGTGGCAAATGTAGGTGTATAAATCTGTGGGTCTCCATTCCTCTGTGACTACTCATGCAGACTATCACAGGAACATGTAAGTCCACACACAGGGTAAAGGAACCTAGTGCCTGCTCCAACTCTGTTCTCTGTCCCCAGTGGTGGCCACCATGAGGGACCTGGGAAAGAAGGGGACACTGGAGGCAGCTGCTGGGGAGGCTCTGGGTCAGACCCTCACCGTGGCCCAGCTGGACGTGTGCAGTGATGAGTCAGTGGCCCAGTGTCTCAGCTGCATCCAGGGAGGAGAAGTGGACGTGTTGGGTGAGTCTGAGCATCCCCTGGGGTCACTCGCCCCCTCCCTGGCCTAAGCATAGATCCTTATCACAGCAAGTTCTTTCCAGTGTCTGGGCACTAACTCTCTTGTTTCTCTAATAACCTCTGACCCTGGAGAGAAGGGGTAGATCAGTTGGCTAAGAGCCCAGGACACCATTCAGTTTATTAGCGATATAGGAAATATACTGAGACCTGGGGATAGGGTGGATTTTATCAAATAGAAATTCTCACATATGGAGAAAACCATATGTGGTTGGGAAAACTAATTTGATGAGTCATTGTGGGAAAGGAGCATGATGAAGAAGCAACTCATGGTCCCTAAACGGTCTTCTAAGGAGGGTGTGGCTGTTTTGATGCAATTTGGGGTCAGAGCTGAATTGCTCATGCATTAAAGTAGAGGCTGTACCCAGCAGCCCTCTTCCCCACCCAGGGCTCAGAGTCCCCTATAACAAATGCTGAACTATATTTAAAGATTATCAATGCTACATATTTGTCCGCCCAAGATACCTTGGACTAGCCCTGAAATTGGAGTGGGGGAGGGGTGGGATAATTTAGGGAGTGTCCCTGGGGGAGTGACACTAGAAGGGTTGGGGGACTTCAAAATAACCCTCAGCCCTACCCCCTTAGTGAATAATGCTGGAGTGGGCCTGGTGGGGCCCTTGGAGGGGCTCAGCCTAGCTGCCATGCAGAACGTCTTTGATACCAACTTTTTCGGGGCCGTCCGTCTGGTCAAAGC